CATATCGGCAGAGTCCTGGCTCCCACTACGCCGCTCGTCCTTGCCAAGGGCTCCACAAATCATTCAGTGGCATGAATTATTGCCGGCGAGCTTAGAACGTGCTCGCAGCGTTAAAGTGTCATTACGGGGCTTAATGAGTCGGCCAACTGCAGAAAAAACCCAGACAGTAACAGATACACACTAGGCTGGTATAAAAAGGCCAAAGGATGTGCAGGAACATACATACGAGCAGAAGGAGCGGAAGATAACGGGATAGTAAAAAATGTGTGGCATGCAAACAGGCGCAAACTACATACATTGTTCATTGTCTGCGTCTAATTTATGTAGTTCTTTCCAGGGTCAGCTTCTCGGAGAGGGTGTCGATGGGTCTATCAGTGGTATATGCTCCTGGGGGAATCATCATATTTTGAATAATACATTCGGTTTCCCAGAAGGGATCTTCAATTTCCATCAACATAATTTCATTTTATAAATTGAAAAGATCTTATTCTTAATTTGAATCCATTTTAGATACTTGCATGTGGAGTATACCCTTCCTTTTCTTAGTTTCTGTTAAAAGCATGCCGGTGTTGAGTATCTTCAGGTTTTCCCTGCTCATCCCCTTGCTGATTAGCCGCATGCTGATGGAACAAGGCGAACCTATTAACACTGATACGTCACGCTGCCTGTGGCTAAGTGCGATTCTAAGCACCTTGAGCCTCCGGGGTGCAAGCACCACCACCGCCAGCTCCCCATAAATTGTGGCACCCAAAATGCATAAACCAAGCATGTCGCGCAATCATTTTCAGCTGCCACGTGCCCCGGCATACATTTCGGGCATTTTATGGGCAGGATGCAGTTGGCCTCCTGCAGCTGCCGCTTGCGGGCTACTTTCGCCAAAATGGAGCGAACAAATGGCCAACGGTGGATGCGAGGGGGGCTCGAAAAATCTTAAAGCTGATTACTCAATAACTTTACTTTGGGAGTGCATAAAATGCGGGGCATATCCTTGGAGTGCATAACTCGAAAGGAGCTGGGGCAGTGCTTTCAGCTGCCTTGCAAGTCGTTTTATGTGCACTTAAAATGTGTTTGTTATTAAAGCCGATGAGGTGGCGGCCCCTGCTCCTGCATCCTGTCCTGTTCTGGCACCTGCTTTTGAATCCGACGCTGCTGCTGTGGTTTTCACTCGGACCAAATGCAATTTATGCTCAAATTGAGTTGCGTCCGTGTGCGTTGAAGTGTTTTTGCAGGTAAAACGCAACCAACGCAACGAATGCCGGCGTGGCAAGCTTTTTCACGTAATTTGCGACACTTAAGTGAATAATTTATGCTTGCCAGTTGCAACATAATTGAGTTGCAGCTGCCACTGCGTTCTGTCTCAATCTTACACTCTGAGGTCCAAAGAGGGCAAGAATGTCTGCGAAATAGACACCTCCTTAGCACTGAGAGCCTCAAAAAATTTGCCGAATTCTTTAAATTAAATGGTTTTCAAAGCATTTGCCCAACACTAAGTGCAGTTCGAGAGGACAAATTCCTCGGCAGTCTACTTGTGCTTATAATTTTAATTAAAGCTGAACTTGGCAAGTGAAATAATTGCCCGGTTGGAATACAAATGAATAATTCCTTCTCAGAAAACGAACTGAAAAAATAAAATACCTCATGTTGCCAAAAATAAATCCATCAATCAATCGGAATCAAGCAAAGTTAGTAAATATTTGCAAACAATTGAAAGTTATTTATTCATTTATTTAATTTTCGACTCAATTTTTCATTTTATTTTTATATCAACACGGGTTTATTCAATTTGGAAATTAGGAATACCATTTTTCCCTCTCGACTTGTCAAAGTCACTCCAACTGGACTCAAAAACGAAACATAAATCAGTCGAATTCTAGGAAGCCACACACAAAGGCCGGCTTCTTTTATAATATTCTTATTTTATTATTTAAATGTGCAGTAAATTCAATTAGGCCGCAGTTAAAAAAGCGGCAGTACATGCACATTGCTGAAATTCAATTACAACCGCTAATGCCACTTGTATTGCCAGGAGCTCCGACCACAGACTGTTCAGCTCTAAATACCTGTAATCCGGCAAATTTAATTTGATAAAAGTTGAACTTCAATAAGCGCCAAAGTTGCCATGGTCGTCGGCCATTATAATTGCGGCTGTTGGGTGTGTGTGTGTGTGCTGACCACTTTTTGTTAAGCTGCCACCGCAGTGCGGACCGCAAACAAATATGATCAGACATCCGACGAGTGACTGTGATAAGCAACAAGCAAAAAACAAAACAAGGAAAACAAAAAACGAAAGCCCCACACGGCAAGTGGCAACACGGCGGATGAATATGGCTTATGCAAGCAAACACCCCCTCAGAGTCCCACGCCTGCCCCACATTGACACATGCGAATATTAAATTAAATAAAAATACAAAAAAACATTAACATTCAAAAGCTGCATACTTTTCCGCGGTGTCAGAAAAAATTCCTCATCAGCTAAACTGGGACAAAAAGCAAACGCCAACTACAATAAATATGCTGCCTATTTTAACTCCGTTTAAAAAAACTCTTATTTAAATAGTGAGAAATAGGCGATGTTTGAAAAAATTATAAAAAAATAACGTATTCAGTAATTTAATTGAGAACCATTAATTTAAAACAATATTAACTCAATGTGGAAATTATCTTACTGCTATAAAAAAATACAGAAAACCAATTTAATGCAATTTTTATTAGATATTTGTAAAACACCTTGAAAAAAACGTTTATATATATATATGTATATTTTTAAAAATAATAAAAACAAGAAAGAAAGCTAACTTTGGCCAGCCAAAAAACTTTGGTATACTTTTGGTTTACCCTTGCTAAGCCAAAAATGCATTAATTTCGATTCGGAAAGCAGTTTTGTGTTAGTTTTTATTAATTTAAAAAAACTGCATACCAAATTTAAAATTTTAAGAAATCAAAATTTTTGGCGATTTTTGCTAATTTTAATGATGTAACCCCTTATAAAATTTTGCAAAAATGGCAAAAAAATCGATTTTTTCCAGACATGTCTAGAAAGATTCGCATGTTAATGCTGATCAAGAATATGGGTTTATGGGGTCGGAAATGATTTCTTCACTTAGAAAAATATTATTTTGTATTATAAAATCGGATTTTTTATATTAAAAAACTTATTGATTTTTTTTAAATTAAAAATATCATAACTCGGCCAAAAGAGCATTAATTTTAAATCGGAAAACTGTTCTGTGCAAGATTTTCTACAGTTAATAAATCTGCATACTTCATTTAAAAATTTTGAAAATTTAATTTTTTATCGAAATCAAAAATTTTAATGATGTAACCCCTTATAAAATTTTGCAAAAATGGCCAAAAAATCGATTTATTCCTGACATATCTAGAAAGATTCCCCTGTTGATGCTGATCAAGAATATATATGGTTTATGGGGTCGAAAATGATTCCTTCACTTAGAAAAATATTATTTTGCATTATAAAATCTGATTTTTTATATTAAAATTAAAATTAACAAGAAAGGAAGAAATGCAAAGTTTCATTCAGATAGCTTTAAAACTGAGGGACTAGTTTGCTTAGAAACAGACAGACGGACAGACGGACATGGCTAGATCGACTCGGCTGTTGATGCTGATCAAGAATATATATACTTTATAGGGTCGGAAACGTCTCCTTCACTGCGTTGCAAACTTCTGACTGAAATTATTATACCCTGCAAGGGTATAAAAATCATTCAAATAATTCCTATAAAAGAATTTATAAGGAAATCTGATGTTTTAATATTTTTTTGTCTGTTTTGACCTACAATCTTCAAGAAGCATTTTCCAGAAAAAACAAAAGTGTCCCTAAGAAATCCTTTTAAAATAAAATTGAATTTCAAAAAGTAGTTGCAATTTCCAAAATTTAATTGATTTAACTTCCAACTAGAAACTTTAACAAAATCTCGTAGGCTTTTCAATTAAATCCTTACTTTTCATCACTTTTTCATTAAAAACAAATTGAAAAAAATATTTAATCAAACGCCCGGATCCGGAGAAATAGAGAAAGAGAGGAATGTGTAAAGCGAGAAATCGCATTCTCTAACAATTTTGTGCAACGGAAAAAATTCTAATTTATTGAGTTAACGCCCATTTTTACACCCCGTGCACATGAACAGGATTCAGGCTCTAACCCCCTTTGAAAATCCCCTACGAAAACCCTGCTCTTGGTCACGCCCGGCCGCATGCCACAGCCATGACCATAACACAGTCTAATTCTGCAGAAAAAAAAAATTTATATATATAGGAAAAATTTAACGAAAAATTGCCCAACTCGCCGACAAAATGAAATTTTCACGTTACTGATGAGAGCACGCATCCCCAGCGAGCAGCACACGGCACCCGAACCCCTTTTCGATTTACCACACAAACATTTTGGCGTGTTCAGGCAAAGCTCCGCTCCACCCCCTAGAAAAAAAACGAATTAAAAACTTGCAAAAATTTTAATGGAATTTTTTTTTACCATTCTTTCTACACGCTCACGCTTTGGTCCCTGGTGTCATCCTGCCTGTCGTTGTTGGCGGTGGCATTGCGGAAATTGTTGTCCCCTTTGATTGTCAAGCGACGGCTTACACACATAAATGTCACATCAGCATATAGCCAAAGGGGTGTGTGGGTGGTGGGTGCAAGGTGGAAGTCGGAGGAGTCGGACCCGATGGTTTAGCCGGGTGTTAGCCCGCAAAAAAAATAAATGTGCAAAAAGAGCGACAGGTTTAGTGAAACGCTATCTTTGCCGACATTCAACTAAAGCTTTAAGCGGATCTACCACAAAGGAGTTTATCTATTTAAAAATTCAGCTTATTGCTGAAACTTTAAACTAAATAAAGTTGATGTAGGCAAACTTGGGTAAAATGTTAGTGGGAATCAAGTATTTAAAGTCAGACACAAACGCATTAGTTTAATAAAACTATTCTAACAAAAAAGACCAGTTTCCTGAAACTTAAATTCAATTTAAATATATATTTCATGTATAAAAAGTAATTATAATTTTATTTGCTCCTGTTAAATCGAACTTACACCACATATGCTCTGTCAGGCTATAACTAACTAAATATAACATATTGTTAAATAAAACAAACATCATCTCAAGCTTAGACTAACCGCAACATTTGTACAGCTTATTTACACAATTTAAGATCATACAAGTCCATGTAATTGAGACAGCTAAAGCTATAGAACCACGCAGATGCCCTGCATCTACAGCTGGTTGGGGGCATAGAAGCCGTTCCACACAGTATCGATTTTCTTCAATTCCGGCAACGTAATATACTTAAAAGGCTCGGTTATATTCAGGCACTTGAAATCGTTCTCATCCTCGAGGGGAGCGAACTTCAGATCCTTGATGCTTTCGCAATTGGGATCGCCGTTGGCGGCGAAACTCGTCCACACATCGATCATGCCGCTGATCACTTTGTATTCCGGAGAATCCGGAGCGGATTGGTGCGACAACATGCTGTGGTAGAGGTAGCCGAGGTCGTCTCCGTGACACACTCCGCGCATCTCGTGGCCACACAGCACAATCCTGATGGGGTTGCACAGCTTGGAGTCGTGGTCGAAGCGGTAGAGGTATGTGGGCGCACTGGACTGCCGCACTCGGGCTAAGGCCGCCCGGTAAATGGGATGCCAGAACTCGCGATAGGAGCACAGTTCGAGGAACTTCATCATATTAGCCTGGTTGCATGGCTCGTCGCCGAAATACGCCTTCTTCAGCTGCAGACCATAGTTCTCGCGCAGCTTATTATCCAAATTCGCACTCAGGTCCTTGGGTAACAGATTCTTGCAGTTGCCCACTTCATCCAGGGTGGCAGGACGCCTCGAGACCTCTGGTTGGAAAGGGAAAACATTAATTAATTTATTATTTTAATTAGTGTAAGTCCCAGGCAGTCAACTCACCAGGATAGAAGAGCAGTCCCTCGAAGCTGGTGCCCCCGAACATCATGGGCACTCGGTTGCTCCAAGAATTCTGTATTAACTCGTGGACTGGCCTGTCGATCACCGTGTGATCCGTTCTATATGATTCCACAACGGGTCCAAAGGCGAACAGCACACGGTGGTGCTTCTCATCCTTGCTCAGTATGGTGGAAGACGCCTTGACAATTTCACCGCCATCTACCGTCTTTAGAAACTCGAAGATTGACTTGTCCTTGTTGTTGCCAGTGTAGCCCAGCTTCTGGGCCAGTCGATAGGCCCAATTTTTGCGGGGTGGCTGGGTCCAGGGGCACAAGACGCTGCCGGACATCACGATCGCCTTGTGGATGAGTCCTTCAGTCTGCTGACTTAGGGATAAGAAGTGGGTAGAAGCACCGCCAGCACTCTCTCCGAATAGTGTCACATTCTTGGGATCTCCACCGAAAGCCTCTATGTTCTGCTGCACCCATCGCAGACCCATGATTTGGTCCTTGAGCCCCGCATTGCCCGGCACATCCAGCTGAGGATCATCCAGGCTCAGGAAGCCCAGAGCTCCGAGTCGATAGGCCACGGTGACTAAGACCACATCTTTGGACATGAAGAAGTCCGGACTGTACATGTCCCGAGAGGCTTCGCCCACTTGGAATCCTCCACCATAGATCCAAACCATCACAGGGCGCAGTTTGTTGGGCTGCAACTGAAAGAGAGAGTTTTCTTTTAATTTCTGTATTCCAAATTAAGGTACTAGGCTTAAACTCACGTCTTTCGCGTACACATTCAGGTATAGGCAATCCTCGGAGCCTGCAAACTTCTTGAAGAACATGTGTGTCTGCAATGGCTTTTCCGCCGCCGAGGTGCAGTCCAGCTCTTGATCCCATGGCTCTGCTGGTACCGGAGCCTTGAATCGCAGCTCACCCACCGGCGGCTTGGCAAACGGGATCTTCTCGAAGCTGTAGTAACTTCCTCCCCATATAGTGTTCCTCTTCTCTCCGCGCACAGGACCTAGCTTTGTCTTCACCACGGAGTATATAGCTGTGGCCAACTTCCGCTGCTCATACTTAAATTTAAGGACCCTGGAAAGTGCGAAGGTTAGTTAAGAACCTTTAGCAAGTATTACTTCAACGGAGCTTAATATAAATCAACAAATTTTTTTTTTATAACTTGATGCCAACTTCCAACTACCTTAGTAGATGGAACAGGGTGAAGTCCTACTGATTGTTAAATAACTTTTCAAAGTTCAACTACAAAGTTTAAAAACCCTATTACCATAGGGTATGAAAGTAAAGACGTTACGGTTCAAGCTACAAGTTCATATTCGATCGTAAAGGAAACACTTACGCGGTAGCTAACCTTTGGAAAAAGCCATAAGACCCCTTGCCGGCTGTTAATAATTTAACTCATTCTCAAAATGCTTGTATAAAATAATGGGGAATTGCCGGCAAATTGCTTTCAATGTCGCTGGAGGGGTCTATTGTTTTGAAAGTCTTACGAATTGTCAACGTCTTTTGACCAACCTCAACGCGCCGCGATTATTATGCATGACAAGTTTTCTATTTATTTTCTATAACTCCACGTTGTTTATGTCTGAGACTTATTGTCGCTGATTTTTATGGGTAATTTGTGGGTGGGCGTGGGGCGGTTTAATGCATTTAATGGCCTATTTTTATTCGCTCACACTGCGCACCTTCGATTTAGCTGGCATTCTGCAAATGCACTGACACAGTTTGATTCAACATCATTGCACACGAATGCATACAAATCGGTAATTACCACTGGAATCGAGAGAAAGGCGAGATCAGGCTCCGCAGATTGCTCGATACGTGACTGCCGAGAGTCTGTGAAAGCCAGCTTTAATACCATTTATTTCTCGCATTTGTTATTAAAATTTTTCTTGGCAGTGCCTTTAATGTTGAGTATTATGGCACTCGGTAGCTAGTTAAGCCAAGCGCAGCAAATGAAGGTAATAAATTAGCATCGGTGCTAATTGGCTAGCTTAGCCCAAAGCCTAGTCCGCTTGATGTGGAAAACATAATGCAAAGCTAAACTTTAGCACCTGGACTATTGTAGTGATTAACCCACAAGTGTTTTCGTATCATCAAGTACCTAAATCCGGCAATTGTCAAGCACCAAGATAAAGAAACGCTCACAAGTGAACAAATGTTTGCCGCAATTTGATTACAATTTAGTCACACTCTTGATAATGATTTTATTGACTTTATTTTTATAAAACAAAAATAAATACTTTCCTTTCACAATTTAATGTGTCAAATTCAAAAAGGTTAAACTCAAAAACCCCCAATCTTTTATATTTATTAAAAAAATTATAAATTTAATCAAATAAACACATCAATAAACCAGTTATAAATATGCAAAAGTATTGTAGAAAGGGTTCAATTTATTTGCTCAGTCAAGCGATTTCACACAAGCACTAGTCATTCCTAGTGCTTGAATAATAATAACACTAAACTCATTCAGACAGCAAGCAAAAACTAGAATTGAACATTTGTTTATGCATTATTTATGGAATATAGAAAACCTTAGCTTGACAAAATATTTAACTTAAAGCTGCCATGTCATGCCCGGCGAGCAGAAATTAGTATCACCTGAAAGTGAAATGAACCCTGTACCCTAGGAGCTTATCAGTTTAGTTCCGTGCAACAATTAAAACTTGTTCGATAATTATAGAAGGCAAAACACGTCACGATATTATCCATTTATCAAGTTAATTTCAGAGATTATTAAGGCTGTTAACGAGAAGCGGGAATAAATGATTAAATTAATTTTAAATATACAATTTATGATGGCGAACATGACAAACAATGTGGCAAAGGGCACTTTTATTACTTATACTACCGTTCTTCCTTGACTATACAAGACGGCTGTTAATATGACTCAATAAAAACATACCAAACTGACCTAACCCACTCTTTGAGGCCCGCTCAATTCCCTGGCAAATATGGGTAAATAAATAAAAAGTAAATATAGATACACGCAATTAACACAATTGTGTGTGGCTGTGCAATAATTTACGTTAAAAATACCAACTACCCGAAAAACTGTTAATAAACCTGCGAAAACGTGCAAAAAATACAAACACAAATCTGAGCAAACAATAAAAAAAAAAAGTCTTTAACTAATGCCGCAAAGAGGAAACATCGCTGAATCATGGGGGAAAAACAAAAGGCGATGAAAACAAAACGAACAGCCATGAGCAGAAGAAGAAAAAGCTTCATTAAGTTTATGCAAAACAACAGACAACAAGCAACATACTCGTAATAAAAAATTAAAAAAAAAAAAAAAAACAAAACAAACAGCAAAGTTTCGCAACAATTTCACGAACATATGGCACATTTGTTTATGCGTGTGTGAAGGGAGCACAGAAAAAAAAATTTACAAAATAAGCTCCACACGCCAAGTTGTTTTTATCATATAATGATATATAATTAATCAATCATTAAAAACGAAGTCTTTTGTCAAATAAATACATTATTGTTGTACCTGTACTAGTTTTTATACTCATTTTTAGTTTTATGGTTTACATATGGAAAGAATTTAATAATTGATAAGCTTTTATAAATATTATTAAGCTGGTGACAAATAAATACAAATTACAATAAAAACAAAATCAAATTTTCATTAAAAAAAAAAAATCATGACACATATTTTTATATTAAAAGAAAATTTAATAACTTAATTTCTGGTAATATCGATCATTTAGACATTAAACTCTCATTATTTTTAAGAATATGAAAAGTAGGCTCAACATGTGATTTTTTAAATTATGAGTTATATTTATTAGATTTTTTTTTTCTCAGTGCACTCGTGTGCATTTGTATGCATGCGAGGCAGAAGTTGTTGCAAAACCCAAGATTCGAGACCTCAAAACACAGAAAACCGTTTAACGCTTCACAAGAGACACAGAGAGAGGAGAGGGAAACTGATCATGTGAAAAACTGGGAAAACTTACTTAAAGGTCAGCTTCACTATATCCATAAATCGCGTGGCCATTTCGGGGATCCGGATTTCCCAACACCCAACACACTCTTTTTCACGAACACTCAACAAACACGGGCTATCTGTATAGCTAAGCACGCTTCGATTACGAGCGCCGATTCGGAGAAAGTGTCACAATAAAGTCCCAGTTAGCCAAGTTAATGCTACCGGCTGGGAAAACGATCGAGAGTTTCGTAGGGAAGCGGAACCAAACAAATAAACCGCTCTACGCGAGCGGGCCGCACCAACTGACCCGCGATCATTGGACTTGGCGATTACTATATGTTTTCTCTCTCTTTTAGTCTCTTTGAATAGCGGAGGTGCTACTCACCTGTATCAGCTGATTTGTGTACTATAGCTCTCTGCTCTCCCAAATACCGGTTGTAGTCTATAAGTTTTTTTTCTCTGGCAAACTTTAATCGAAAAAGCTATTGAAGCTAAGGCAAAAACCTAAATGCTTGGACACTCACAAGCTCTACAAAGTTAAGATCACAGTTACTCAAGCTCTGAATTTGAATGTTCAAGCCATAAGGTCAACCAGTTTACCTTGAAATTGAGCTTAGACTTGGCCAATTAAAGATTTCTAACCGTTACCTAAGCTTAATGAGTCCATAGCCCCCGCTCGGTAATGCATACACTTGTCAAATGGAATGAATACATTTGAATATCTTTTCGAGTAAAGTTAAGACCCTGCTTGCTATGCCAGAGCATGAAGCCGAACTTTCCACAAAGCTTTTTACACCTACAGCCCCTTTTTCTCAGTGCAAACTGAAAAAAGCTCAACTTTAACCATTCAAGTGACAATGAACTTGACTTTGGGCACTAAATAATGCCACTCTGACATGTGTCAATAAAGAAAAGCCTTGTCTGCGCTGCTGATAGATAATTTATTTATTTACCCATTCTAGGGCTTTATCGAGTTCTTTTGGTATCGGTATCGGGGGTCAAAAATCAAAGTCATCGGGCGTGGAGTGCTGTGGTTCGCTTTGGGTTATAACCATGTCTGCCTCGGCTGATGGAACATCATCGCACAAAGCCAGGTGCAGAGTTACAGCCAAGAAGTAGAAACTATGCGAAAAAGGTTATAAATTTCCAAAAAGTTCCAGCTAACCCACCTCATTAATAGGAATAAATTCAATAGAGTGTTCATGTCGACTTGTAGTGTTCAGTGTCCCAAATATAACTGATCAGAAATAGGAAAACTATGGCAGTAAACCGATATAGATTGCACTAACTATTAGCACTTGGCAGCTGATTCACAGCTAATGACACAATGGGCCTGCATTATGTCGAACAGATCAAACGAATGTCGATGGCAAAGCTCCGACAATAATATATGTGGTATTATACAATTATTAGAGTTAATCAGCGTAACAAAACCAACAGGGGAAAAATAATAAAGGTTCAAATTAGCAACAAATTAGTCACGCTTTATTTGATCTTGCAATTTGAATTCAGTTTTCGCATCAACGCATATGCGATAATTTGTGCCCATTTTATTTGTCCGATAACTCACATAACTCACATGAGAACCAGACGAAAAAGTGTGACGCAGGGGTATGCCTATGTTACCCATAGGAAGTTTTTTGGACGTGATAATAAAATTGCAGACACATGTTGAGATTGCGGATATATAAATTATACTCACTGATTCACGAAATCCCCAAGGGTGAACACCGGCGGAGTAGTATCTTTGCTTCGTCCGAGGCTAAAGTGCCTTAGTTTCGTGAGAAAAGTAAAATATTTACCCATATTAATTGCTTGGAAAATAACTCACAGCCTGTTGTTATCTTGAATTTTCTTTGCTTTTATTCTTTTTTAATAAAATATGGTTTTATACACTTTCAAATTTCATAGTTTCTTTCCATCACAAGACTTTGAAGCTTTTTGACAAAAACATTTGGTTTCCAACAGACTCGGATACACAGAGAATTCTTAGACAAACTAGTTTCAACTGGCGGACTTACTCCTAATCATTTTGTGCACACTCAAAAAACGTCTTCCACTTATCAGTTTTCCGTTTAGTTGTTTAGTTTTAGTTTTTATTCGCTTGTTATGTATAATATAAATGATGTAAAACTTGGACAGGTTTCTCTGTTTGTTCAAAAACAACATTTTACCAAAACAACTTATGCATACAAAAGGCTAAATATCTAAAAAGACTTAGGCTACGAATATAAATAAATTGGTTACGGTTAACTCGTTTTCTCATTTAAATATACATCTATATTTTGAAACACAAATGGAAAAAACTTCCTCTTTGTAAACGTGTGCGTTCGTTAGGCGATGGAAGAAAAAGAATGGAACCTTAAGCAAATTAGTGTCGAGGACTTACAGCGATCTCGAGTAAAGAGATCCGTACAAAATACGGTTGATATATGTGTGTGTTGGCTTGTTATAGATATCAGCGAGACATGAAGGAACGTTAAATATAAGTTCTTTGCTCAGAATCCTTGGCTGCCTGGATTAGTTCAGTTTGGTTTAGTTGGTTTGGTAGTTTCTCATAGAAGGTACTTCAGTTGCGACTTGTTTCACACTCATAACTACACTTATAAACAGCCTGCTTAGACTATAGATCCGATCCGAGAGGCGGATGAACTTTAACACACCTAACTAGGATTCCCCTCTACGTTGGCAAACTTAACAACAGTAAACGCTCTTGATTTCAGGCCCAAAGCTACGCTTTGCATTGTTTCAAACAGAGGCTTCAACATAAAGCTGTCAGAATCGTGAAGTTTCAGGGTGGTTCGTCTTACTTAAAAGATCTAAAAGGAAGTTTTTGTAATCAATCGATAGTTGTGAGTTTGAGACAGGAAACCTTTGCTCGTTCTCGTTCTCAACGAATACAATTTGGTTTAAATTCGTATTAAGTCTAGGATTTTGAAGACATAAACTTGTGAAAGACTATTCCTGAACCAATGTCAAGGAAATATTTGTAATACTCCCAAAACTTTAGTTTTGTCTTGTCTCAGAAGTATCCATAGATTACACTCCCCTCCCTTGAGATTCGAACCTCCCCTGTTTAGGTAAAGCTACTGATTTAATCTAGATAGATCCCCCCTTTAATAATTATAGCAGCTCATCGCGCCGATAGAAGCTCTCCCAGACCATCAGCTTCCGCATATCGGGCACGTCGATCACCTTCAGCTCGTCGGATATGTTAAGGCACTTCAGCTGGTGTTTCTCGACGGCCGCCGGCTCCACGGGCAGCCAAAGATCGGGCTGCTCCGGATCGAAGTTGGGGTTCCCGCAGGCGGCAAAGTGCGTCCACAGGCCCACTAGCCGCTCTATGCACTTGTACTCCCGCGTGTGGTTCTTCAGCTTGCGCGCCAGCGAGTTGTAGAAAAGGTAGGACAGGTCGTCGCCGTGACACGTGCCGCGTACCTTCTTGCCGCAGCTCAGGATGCGCAGGTGGTTGAAGTGCTTCGAGTCGAAGTCGAAGCGGTAAAGGTACGTCGGTGCCCCGGGGGCGTACAGCAGGCGGGACAATACTGTGCGGTAGATGGGGAACCAGAAATACTCGTGTGAGACCATCTGAAAGATGAATGGATGAAGGGAGAGTTAGTTATATATATTCTTTAAATACGTTATATAACCCAGCTGTGCTAAGAAAGATTAAAGTATCACCCACCTGAAGGTACTCGTGCAGGGTGTCTAGACTCGGCGTCTTATCGCCGTAATAGCACTGCCTCAGCTGATCGCCGTACTCCCGGCACAGGGCACTATCTCGGTCCATGTTCAGCTCGATGGGCACCACAAAGCGGCAGTCGTCCAGCTCATTTAGACACTTGGGATTCGTTTTGGTCTCGGAGTATAGCAGTAGGCCCTCATTGGAGACGCCTCCCAGGATCAGGGGTATGCTGTTGCTCCAGGCGGTGCGCATCATTTCGATGGGCTTCGTGGGCACCACACAGTGGCTAGTCACATAGGGCTCGATCACGGGTCCGAAGGAGAATCCTATGCGCTCCTTCTTCTCTTCGTCGATGCAGAGCTCTCCATTGGCCTTGATAATGTCGGATCCCTTGGCGTTCTTCAGGAACTCCCACACATCCCGCGTGTTGTTCTCGCCCGTGTAGCCAGCCTGAACCGCAAGGCGGTAGGGCCAGTTTCTCTGCGGGGTCACTGCCCAGGGTGAAAGCGTATTGCCCGACATGCAAATGGCCTTGTGGAACAGGCCGCGAGTCTGCTCTGTTATCATCATGTAGTGCACCGATGCACTTCCCGCACTGTCCCCGAAAATAGTTATGTTACCCGAATCTCCACCAAAACGGGAGCAATTCGCCTTGACCCATCGCAGGGCCAAGACCTGATCCTTGAGTCCCGCGTTGCCGGGAACATCCAATTCGGGATCGTCCATGCACAGGAATCCTGAATAAATTAATAGAGAACTCGATTTATTAAGAGTTTGAGGTAAAAACAAAGTTGAGACTCACCCAAGGGTCCTAGTCTATAGTTAATCGAAATAACTACTACATCCTCGCGAAGCAGGTAATCAGGACTGTAGCATTCCCGCGAGGCTTCGCCAAACTGAAAGCCACCGCCATAGATCCAGACCATCACAGGCATTGGTTTGGTGGGATATAACTTAAGGAGGGTAAACAAATTATTATCAGAATAAAAATGAAAGCTAGGAAAGTGTCAAAGGATTTCCACTTACATTCTTTGTGTAGACATTGAGGTAGAGACAGTCCTCGGAGCCGTCTGTCATCTCAAAGACAAAATGCTTCTGCAGGGGCTTCGGTCCCTGGGAGGTGCAGCTTTTGACCTCCGTCCAGACCTCTGGTGGCTGTGGGGCCTTGTAGCGCAGCTCTCCGACGGGTGGCTTGGCAAAAGGGATCCGCTCGAAACTGAAGTAGGACTGGCCGTAGATGGACTTCCGCTTGACGCCCTTTATGGGGCCATAGGTGGTACTGACGACAGTCTTTTCGCTGGTCCTGTATCGCCGTTGCTGGACCTTAAAGTCGACCATTCTGCGGGAGAAGCGAAGTAGATACAGGGCTTAGAAGACTTCTGGTATTAAGAACTGATTCCAATTTAACGCCCCCTCCCCTGGATCTAAGCCCAATCAGTATTTGTGGCCATTAATCAGAGACAATAAACGACGTCAGCTTCGCTGATATTGATGGGAGTGTCTTTTCCGCTTAGCGTTCTGCTGATAACGTTAATTTTTTATCAGCTCTCGCCCGGCGGGCCAGGTGTGCGCCATTTATCGCAGCCCACTCTCCACTTTTCACTCTGGATTCGCCGCAATTCACATGAAATCAGCTCGCAATATTTTTTGTTATTTTCTGCCTATGATTTTTTGTTTTCGGCGTATTTATTCTGAGTAGCGTTCAAACAAAAAAATCAGACGCGCCCTGGTATCAAAAGATAAACAAACCGCAAACCAAACAAAATTTGGGTAATTCTTTGAGTTGTGTAAGTCGTTCAACTTCAAGTGTAGAAAATCAAGGGCGAAGGCCATTGAAACTGAAAAGTGTATAAGACCTGTGCCAAGGCAATCGTAACTGGGTGAAATGCTCAGAGTGGTTTTACTTGTATTATATAAATATATAAATAGCTAAGCAAAGAGTCCTTCAACTGCCGGGCAGAGCAAGTTCAAGAGCAAAAGTCGACAGCAACAACACAAGTATTTTAATTCTTAAGAAAAGGTAATTGTAACAGATATTCCTTGGCGAGATATTTTGGTTTTTACTGCTATATAGTCTAAACTGCCTGAAAGTAATCACTTTGCTTGACTGTAGGCATTCAACTTTTGGCAAAGCTATCAAAACTACGCCAAATGTTTATAGATTAATTATTTTAAAAATAGCTTCAAGTTTTCACCTTTATAAGCTGAGGCTTTTTAACCTATATAAACTAAGGTGAGATTTTTAATTGTATAAATAAAAAACTTTGGGGGTGATAAGATGCCCAAAATGTTTTCGAATTTTGCAAGAGGGCAAATCAAAGCACTCGCACTTCCTCCCAAAATATTCAAATCCCCATGTGGAGGAGGCCTTTGTTTATCGCCTTCCATAATGGCCAAGTCATGTACACAAAATAAAACCGTTTCTGCCATTATTTCCATTTTTCGATTGAATGATGCAAAGCAGAATAGTTTCGATGGCTTTTGTGAGCTCACCTGGCAAACGAAACGTGTTATAACTTTTAATTAATTCGTACGTAAGTTCCGATTTGTCGGAGAGAGCGGAGATAAAGAATAAACCCGGCTATATCTCTTTGTTTTCCCCCAGCTTGCCAGTTTGCCGTTGCTTGCAAATGTCATCAACAGCTGGGGCCGGCCCAAGGGCAGCGAAATATATCAAAATTTATGTTTATTAATAGCCAAAATGAGCTGTTGCCATTTTTCGGCCAAGATGGTAGCCAAAGCCCCAACGCATGATGTGAATAATACATCCGGAGCAATTTGAACGGGACTGTGAGGGGGGCCTTGGCCTTGAACTTTGCCATGAATATCATTTTGGGAAGGGAGCGCTTAAGCTAATGGTCGGCACCTATAAAAAAGAAGGAAAGTCTATATAAATAATGTTTATGACGGGTCTGCCTTGACCATAAAAGATTATGTCCTAATACGAGGCTTGCGTGCGGCAAGCCTATTTCTCAATTGGAGGTCCTGGAACGCACCCACTGACCACTGAACTTTTGAAAACATGAAAAGCTCACGGGAGCCATGGTTAATTTTATTTTTATTAGACAAAAAATAAACAAACGACAACGAATATTACAGCCTTGAATTTGCTGCTGGCCGCCCATTAAGTGCTGCTAGAAATTTTAATGTTCCGATTATTTTCCGCAGTTTCCGCAGACAGAGAATGTATCTGCTAAACGATCTTGTGTGTCCCAACTGATTTATGTGTTATTTTTGGCCGCTATGGCGATAAATTTAAAGCAAAATAAACAAGAGATTTTTGCTTACACTAAGAAGGAAATTATTCGGCTGCTTATTAGCAACAAGTGACGACAGCAGTCCCAAAAAAGCAAGAAGAAATACTAGAGACTTAAAGGCAAATAAACTTTAAACAAAAGATTTTCAGATAATTGTAAAAATATATATTTAACATATGAAGCACTTATCTTATTTATTAAATAAAAAAAAACAAGTTTATAGACAAATGGCCAAGAATATGTGAAACTTTGTCATTTTTCTATGATGTTAATTGATTGCTTTTCCTTGAAGATGTATTAGAACCAAGTGACCTCAAATACTAAATGAAATATTAAGTTTAAAACGATGTTTCTGGGTTAGCAATAGACACAATAAGTAAATTAGATTACCTAAACAAAAAACTAAGGCCCATGATACCTTATCAAGAGGGTAAGAGGAATATTTTGAGACTGGCTTTGAGAACGGTGACTTGGGTTTCCATGCACCCGAGAGCGAGAGCGGGAGAGATAAGCCCGGCTTATGTCACAGATGAATCAATAAATTTCCCGCGCACAAGGCGGCGCCGTTATCTGCTAGACGCAGTACAGGTCCGGCACGCGATAGGAGACCATATAGAGCGTATAATCTGGACAAACATCAAATATTGTCTGAAAGACTGACACACGCAGGCGGCAAGTCATGGTCAAGTTAGTTTCTCGAAAAAGATGACACAACAAACGGAGAATTATGATTACCGGTCGCATAAAACTAGAGGCATAAAACAGCTTAATTTCATTTCCGTCTCGTAGTGGCCATAAAAACTTGGCATCTATTTGTGGACACTTTACATGGCCATCTAGGGAAGGCGCGACGACCTTGGAAAGGCTGTAAAAGCTGCCAAGCGAGGACTGCAGAATGAAAGCTTTGGCGCCATGAATGAACCAGAGTCGGTTAGGAGGCCAAAAGCTTACAATTGGTAGAGGGATAGTCTAGGTGGAGCAGGTCAAGGAGTTAGCTGAAGGACGCCTGGGTCGACAATTAAATGTAAACAAAACATAAAAAACTGTGGGGCTTTAAGACAGACATTTAGCAGGTTTTTTTTAGAGGTTCGTTATCAAAGCGTCCAAATATTCGGTTCTCATGTGTGCAAATATTTTATAAGAATAAATAAGATAACAAAATTACCATCAATCAAGAAAATATAGCTATTTAACATTAAAATCTCCCCGATCTAATGTGAAAATTATTCGGCATAAATTTAATTATATTTTATTATAATCGAATCACACATTTTCGACTTTATTAACCCTAATAGGGTAAATGTTTTTAACGAACAACTCGCAGCTGATTTAATGCGCTAAATTTTAAACTCATTCATTGAAAAGTCCCCACATTATATATTAGGTATACATACATATACATTTATCAGAATGTTTGCACTTCTCGCGGCAATTCTTTCATTCTTTATTCATTTAAAAAAATTATTTTCGCCACACAAAAGCTTTCGGACGGGAAAAAAAAAAATAAAAAAAATAATAGAGAAAGAAAATGCGGCAAAATTAAATGAAATTGACAAGCTAGTGTTCGTGTGTATGTGTGTGTGTGGGCGGCAGATAGAAGGAGAGTACAAAATGCTAGCGACAAAATTTCACAAAACGAATTTCTATGCCGCGGTCATACCCGTCGTATGCGCAATGTCAGAAATAAAGCATTCAGAATAAACGAATGCTGAAACTTAAAGAAATCTTAAAACAATAAATAGTTTTAGATGAGACCAACAGCTGGCTAGAGAGGAATAGGTCGTTAGGTCTTAATCTATGTAGTTTGGGGGAAATGCATTTGTGAAAATAGGTGATGAAACTATTTGCATTTTTGGGGGAAATTAAATGTTAATCAATTAAATTGCTTTGCAAATTTATATATAATTTATAATTTACAGGAAAACAATTGTTAATCTGTTCTCTTTCATATAATTATTTTGTTAAATTCTGTAATTTATACTCTGAATACTGAATGTGCTTATGAATGAAATCAATCATGTCCCATTATGCATTTGCCCTTCCACTTTTCACATGTCGCCAATGCCAAATTTAAGATCCCAAAATAAGCCCCGAATCCCGATTTCTCTACTTCCTCTTCTGATCCTGTCCCGCCAGAATAATGGCAATGCGTATAAAGATGTTCAGCGCATCCATGTAAATGGCCAAGGCGTGATTGATGGGATCGAAGGGGCTGCTGCTGTACTGCGGATGGTGCTCCGCCGACTTCACGATCCGTTGGGTGTCGTACAAAAGGAAGCCGCTGAACAGGATCAGTCCGCCGTACAGGGAAATGCTGGCCAGCCCCGCCCCCACGGCTGTCGTGGGGGGCAGCCACATGGAGGCCAGCGAGGAGGCGAAGACAAGTCCCAGGCCGATGGCCAGGGGTCCGCCCATGTGCAGGAACTTCTCGCTGGGAGCGCAGGCGGCCACCGTGGACAGGGCGCCTACTATGCCGCCGGTGTACATTAGAGCCTTGATCAGGATGGGACCGCCCAGCAGACACATGGGCGCCAAGACCGCTCCGAGGACGGCACAGTGGGCGGCCCAGGCCAGCTGCTTGGCCCCAATACCGGGCTGATACTCAATGCTCTGCGCCAGGGCCCCGCTTAGCATCACCACGCCCAAGGTGACCAGGGAGGCGATCCACCCAGAACGCGTCAGCATGGCCATCATGGCGTCCGACTGGAAAATGGCCGCCGAAGAGGCCGCCGTTACGGCGCAGGATGCCCCAAAGTAGGCGTAGGTGGCGTGAATGCGGTCCCTCACGTACTGGGGCCACACCACAGAGTGATCGTAGATGCTGGTCTCCTTGGACAGACCGAGTCCGTAGTAGCACAGGCCCACGAGACCCATCAATGCCGCTCCCGCCGCCGCTCCCTTGCCCATGGAGTAGGCGTTCTCGCTAGGTGGGCCCATCATACGATCCTTGAGCGAGGGTCCTCTGGTTCGGCTCTCCAGGTGAGAACGGTCGCGATCCCCTGGCTCCCGTGAATACTTCCGCATCCGCAGCGCTTGCATGTCCTTCTTTGGCAGCAGGGACTTCCCATTGCCCAAAGATGGCAGTGTTGGAGGCTTGCATTTGATGGAGTTCTGGGCGGAACTCCAGAGCCGAGGACCTCCGGTGTGGCCCAAAAGACTAAGCGATTGTCCTGACAGCCTATGGGCTAAGCGGGCCAAAAGCATCGCGAATCGGTACTTTTGATTTTGTTTGCCTATTGATTTTATGTAACTTTATGTAAGTATGTTCAACTCTTTTTGGTTGTCATGTATGTATAACTTTAGCGAGAAATTGAGGACAAAAGTGTAAAGAGCTGGGATTTTAATGCACAAAGGACATTAAAAAAGTAGGGTTTAAAATTTAGAGCCAAGACTGAGACACGAAATGCAAAGGTTATGTGGATTTATAGAGAAAAGAAGACTGAGTTGTAAAGTGAACCCATTGTTCGTTATTTGTATTTTATATTTGTTGTCTTGAAAATAGGTAAAAAAAAATATTTAAAAAATCTGTATAAATCCACTTGAAACTAGATTTATCTTGTGAGTACCAGATCGACGGACAAAGAATTTTTAAGATGTATCTTTATGCGACATCAAGAAATATTTGCACGTGCCCAAGCTCCAAGAATTCCCAGCAGAGATTGTGTGGAATTGAAGGTTAATTGTCTGCCCAGCGATGAATTTGTTGTGTCAATTGATCAAACCAATGACTTAAATTGATTTCGACCAATAAATAACAATTTCAGAATGTCCAAATTTAAGTTTAGACCTTAAAGGCAATCAATTTATTGAGCTGAAATCGAATATATGTACATTGTACGTGAAATTGACAATTCATATATGCCAAAAAATGATTGAACGTGGGCTGTGTGAATTCATTCAATTCAAACAGTTTCGCTGGCATAAATCAGAAAAAAATACCCATTAAAATATGCAAATGAATGCAGAATTGAAATGTTTAAAAAAATTGTTCATGATATTGCGTCATTAAATTGCACAAATAGACATGCATATCGATGGAAATATTTTTTATATAAACACAATGAAATTAAAACAATTTTATATATAAAAAAAAGCTATATATATAAAATAAAATCATAAAAGTTGTCACCGAAGCTTATCGCTTACACGAAAAAACAAATAAATAAAGTAAAAATTGAAAAGCATTTCTGCCCTGACATTCTATACGCCACAATTCGTCTTTATAGCGACTGAAACCTAATGAAATCATCACATGAATGGATTCGAAACGGAACCAGTTGGCTGCCGAAACCAAAACTAAGCTGATCTCATACAACATTCGTTCCCTCTCTTTTGCCAAACACCAAACACTTTTTATTTTTTGCACACCAGCCAGAAATGTGAGTCAGCCTCTGCGGGACTTACTATGGTTTACACAATACAATAATTTACATATATCCCGCAGACATCTGCGGAGTGAGCGAGGTCTATTCTGGTTTGCTACCTAATTATTTGCGCAGTTTCAGTGTCGGCAAAAAGCCCTCAGACAATAGAGAGAGAGAGCGGGGTGAGCCAAAGACCCCAAGCGGATCTATAATGACAGCTGCTCTGGGTCTTTGTGGGCCTGTATCTATCTATGGTTGCTCTTCCTGAAGACGAACTACGATCAAACTGAGTAAATCCCCTGAAAGAAGCAACAACCCACCTGCGGAGACAAGAAGGAAGTCGGTAAACATGGTAGGTTTTGTTTTGTAGGTTATAATTAGAGTACATTCTGCACCTTTTTGTAAAACAAGAAACTAATATCTTGAAAATATTAATTTGAAATTTAATTCATAAAATATATTTAAAGGATTTTCCCCCTTCTGTTGCGTAAAGAGAAATTAATGAGTAATGGTGTTCTGGGCTACGATGTTTACACTATTCCTACGTAATTTTCTGGGAATTTTTTCCTAGACGCCCAACGCCCACCTGTCCGTTGCTTCAATGTTGTTGACTCGTGCATAATTAAATATGTATGCCTGTTTCCCGCAAGGACAGGCTATGGCTATCCCTGGGGTAGGACATTGTAAACATCTGCTCGGAAATACTGAAGCAATTTCGGTGCTCCCAGCTGCGTGAAAAGCATAAAAAATGGTATTTGCCGAGCATAAATATTGTCTCACGGGGATTGTTGACGTAAATGGTTTCTTGTTGCTTCAGGGAAATGCTTATCGATTGATATGAGTTACTCGGAATTCCCAGGAATATGGAACGCGAGTTCCGTTACAGATCGTATGCATAAATCACACTAAATATATTTTCAGTTACAATTACACGAAACCTACGGAGGTGTTTAACTACATACAGTGTGCCTTAGTTGGGATGACACAATGCGCTGATGTCATGTGCCTGGCGCAATTGGAATGATTTTCATTTGGCTCTTGGCAAGGCAAATTAAACGTTTTTAAAGTAATTACAATGCAAAATTGTCAGCTAACTCGAAAAAGGAAAGGCTCTTATAATACATACTAATTGCAAGTATTTTCCCCCGTAAAACGCTTATGGTCATCAACTTACTTGAGTCCAATTTTGAACTGATCAAAGGCAGCCATGGAAGACATTTTGTGGTTATTTTCTCGTTCTCGCTGTCTCTTCGTCTCGAATTCAATCAGCAAAGCAGCCGACAATTTGTTATTTATAAATTATTTTTGCTGTATGAAGGGGGGCAGGAGTGACGGCGGTGGGATTTTATAAATATTTTAAAAAAACCCAACTATAAAACTTGTTTTGGTTTTGGTTTGTATGCCTAGCCGAGTTGAGGAACTGCCAGCTGTTCAATGGCCTTGCCAGGACAACAACAAAACGGAGCTTTTATGTCCTGCGCACCAACACACGCACACGCACACGCACAAGCACACGCGTGAAAAGCCCTCGATGGAAAATCAACACGCAGGATACGAAAAAATTGGAAAACAAGCGATTATCACATGCTTTGCTCGCGGCGCGAAATTTTTTAATTTTGTCTAAACTGTTCAAATTACTATAGCTGCCGGTCTGTGGTATATAGTAGCGATGCAGAGAGGAGCGTCTGATTACCAACAAACTATATAGGTAGTTGCCCCGTTACGCGTCCGCTTGGCGTGAAGGCAGCTCGTCAACTGCCCGCCAAAGCACGAAAAAGTTCTAAGCGTGGCAAAAAGCTTTCGGCGCAAGGCGAAGCATCGAAAGCGTTTCCGCCGCTGATACGGGAGACAATTACCACGAGGAGCAGAGGAGGAGGCCTTATCTATAATTCAGTAGTGCCACAATTATGTGGCCGGAGGAGGCATTTTCCAGCGAACTGACTCACGCGGCCATTACGAAGCACAAGCCTCGACTTTGTCCTGCCGCCACATATCCACTTTATCACTGTCCCCCGAAACTGCGTCCCGATAACAATAATCGTATTGATTCGCACTGCTAAGAGGAGGGCTAACAAGTTGTGATTTCGCTGATTCGACAATATTTTTTCGGTTGGTTCTTTTTTGTTTGATGGAGGTGTCATGCGGCATAATAATCTCTATGGCCTACTCATGGTTTGATAAGGGAGCGTGGAATCGATTTCGGGGGTGAGTCATTCTCTTATCGCCGCCCCCTTCTAGGAAGCTGTAATCGGGAAGAAATTATTTGGTGCTATTATGGAACACAGGGGAGTTCCAAAAACTGAAAAAAAAAACAAAAATATTAAAATTTTAATGTGAAATTTAATCAAAACATTATGCATAAGAGTCTTAAAATAATTTTAATGAGTTAGATTTCTAAGTTTATTTATGGATCGTTATTTCATGAATTGTTTTTTTTTAGCTTTTTGAATTTACTTCCGAGAACATGCGAATAATATTATTAATTATTAATTCATTGCTTTCTGGGAAAACTAAATTCATGAAGTTCACATGATTTATTATTTATAATTTTCATAAGTAATCGGCAATTCCAACAGATTTGGAAAAAAAATGTACATTTGTTAATATGAAATATAATAAATCTGTACACAAAAAAATTCCAAAATTATTCCGGGCTAGTTATTATATTTCTATGAACATTAGTGATCGTAAATTAATTTTAGTTTTAACACTATATAATGTCCTTATATTTATTGTTGGCTCTCCCTCCATGAAATTATTATGTATACCAGGAAGTTCACATTAGCTTGGATAAAGTCATTCATTTGAAGAGTGTCTCGCACTCTTTTGTGATTCTTGTTGCTGGGCCTAAGAACCACAAGTGGCAAAATAAACAAAGCCAGGCTGAGAAAGCTAAATAAATGGGGGCAGGACAAGCACAGCTGACTGAAGGACCTGAAGACCTGACTCCTGTTGCTGCTGAAAGCTCTCCTCGCTACGAAAAAAGCCAAAATAAGCAGTGGCCTAGAGCTTTTCAACCGCCAGCTTTTAACAGCTAAACTTATTTTGATTTATATTGTTTCGCTATTCGATTTGGTCTGCCCCAAGCAATTGGCTCTAGTTATGGTCAGTTCCAGTTTTCGGTTTAGCTTGGCACGCAACCGACTCGGACTGGAATCAGCGAAGATTACACCTAATCAAATTATGGGCTGGATTAAGCAAATAAATGGGTATATGCACAGGGAGAAAAGGATCTTCAGAGAAGCTTATTAATCGCTTAACTCTGGCAGAGGCAGTAAGCTATATAAAATCATATCATATTAAGCAATATTAACAATAGCACTCTTCCTGTTTTTAAATTGCACTTTGAAGAATTTTAGTATACAATGTTCTGTAAAATGTTTGAAAATTCCATTAAAATATTCTTAGAACTATTTGGTATTTAAGAATATTTCCATGTACTTGGCTTAGCTCAACATAAATCTGAAATCATTATCTTGCTCAGTGTACGCTTTGGTGAGCGGGCAGTCTACAGATTTGTTTATATTTATTATATGCTAAATAAATAACCTTGGCTGGGGGGTAATATAAACTCTCGTGACTTTTGGCGCTTATGTTGCCATGCGCTCTTCGCTCGTGAAGCTTTTCCATCGGATCTCGTTCTATATAGTAAGCATTATGCTCGCTCTGTGGGTGGATTGCTCTCCCGACATCTCTCTGGGAGCGATCGCGTGCTCTGGTAGTGGCACGTTTTTCCGCTATACTATGTACGAGTGCTTCTCTAATTCATTTAAATCAATTTAAGTAAGTTGTCGGGTTTTCTTTCTTTTTTGTGCAAACACGACTATTTCTGGCATTGTCAGGCCGTCACATTGTCGCACATTGTTAGATTTTAAATGGTTTTGATTAAACCCAACTGATTGCAATCAGTAAAAACGGAAAACGTATTAATAATAGCAAAAGTTTGCCATTCGGAATATGCTTGAGGGGTCTTTACTTTGCCCATCTGTTGTTTTTCGAATTTTCCGATGTTTACCTTGGCCATGTTAAATACACATGAAGGAAAAATAGAAATTATAATTAGTAAAGCAGAAACTATTCTTCAATTTAATATTTTCAAAAAAACAAATTAATATAATCTTATTGAATTTAATTCTAAATACAACTGCTTTCTTTATGAATTAAATAAACTGAAAAATTAAAATTTTCCCGTTTTCATTTCCAATTTCTAATCATCTGATTTCGCTCTGTGCCTGCGGGAAAATGTTTATCTCATCTTTATAACCAAGAATTTGGGTCAGTGAGTAAATGCTTTTCCCGAAAGTGAAAGTTCCCTTGAATTAAAAATTCATTTTTGGCAATCTGCTAACTTAAGTTTCCGCTCTTTCCCGCCACTAACTCGTCTGAGGAAATGTAAATGGAATATCAAATGTCCAGGAGCTGAATCGAAACAACGTGCCGGCTCGGCGGTTCAACTCGCACATGATAATCATGAGCATTTCGCGCCGCGCAACAATTGCCTCATGAATTTTTCAAAGACGAATCAAATCAAAGCGAACCCCATTTCCATGCCACCCTCCATCAGGGTCCTTCTCTTGCCCTACCAGTGAAGAAGTCATAATTTTCCGACTGCTCGCGTGACTTTTCCATGCCATTTCGTGACTTGATTACAGTGCACGGTTAACATGCGTCCTTGTTTGTGTTTTCCTCTAGCGAGGATAATTTGGAAAGGGGCCCGGTGTTGGATATTTCCCCGAGCCATCAAAGTCCCAATCCCTTTCTTGGGTTCTCTGCACGTGACAGAAAACTATTGTCTGTGATTTTAAAAATGCTAACAAAAAAACCTTTGACACTTTTAAGGGCAAAAACTCGCATGGTTGTGAATTGGGGTAGGATATAGAAGGAGAAGAGTGTCCCATAATGACTTGTTGGTGACGAAAAATGTTCAGAATTATTTTAAACTGCTTAAATTTTACCATAAGCTCTCATTAAGCTAAGTCATTAGTGCTCTTTATAAACACAACACTGTCTAATCTTTCTCGCAGAATTAATAAGACGTTTTATAAATATTTGTTGCTTAATAATGTATTTATCTAATAGACTTAAAAATCTATAAATTAGTGAAGAATCGGCCTCAAAGTGTCATTAATAATATCTAATCAGCAATAACAGCACGAAATGCTCAAATTTGATTCCATAAAATGTTCAATTTAAACAAAAAATAGTAAGCAATCGCAAAACTGGTGAAATTCATATCAATTGTACACAAATGTACACCTATAAACACCGAAATAATCCCTAAAATCTTTTGACTGCAAAATTTACCCAACCAAAAACATTGCATACTTTGCGGCCGCATCCAAAATTCTTCATCTGAAATTCAGTGAGCCCCAAACAAGCTGCCACCAAATTTGCTAAGCACCTGTAAATAATAATTACAAAACAACCACATAAACAAAAGGAAAAAATGCCGAAAAAATCCCGCTGTCGGGCAAAGGTCAACGGATGTCAACGCAACCGAGCTCAGTAAATTTGAAGCACGTGTAAGTTTTTAATTACAATTAATGGCTGTGGGGTGTGGGTGGAAAATGTTAGAGGTTCCGAGGTTAACAGGGGCTTCCACCGTGTATATGCATTGTGTTTTTAGCGGTCTTTGAAGTTGCCATAGACACAAACACACAAGGACAACAGGGCAGGGCCTGCAGGGGGATATACACGTGTATATTTTCATATACAGATATACCGCTTTATATATTTGGGGACAGCTGTGCGCGGGCTTTTGGTTTTGTCACATGACAGCCATCGTCCGTGTGCGTGTGTAGCTCGCTTGTGTGCAGGTGTTAATATTGTCATGTTTGAGCGTTTAAGTATTTTTAATAAAACATAACATGCTGCATATTTTATGGGTAGGCTTTCGCAAGGATTAATCTCCTAAGCCTTATTTTAGAAATAACATACAAATCATCCGTTATCCGATCAATGGCTTTGTAGATGAATCATTATATAATTTTTTAAATGCCGTTCAAAACATTTATAATAAAAAAATGGATAAATTTATTACATTTAACAGCTTTGAAAATTCACTGTCTTCTCTTGTTGCAGCAATTGAAAAGATAAGTTTATCCCCTTTTATTTATCAGAATTTATTTTAGTTTAAACCAACTTGAGTGTGTAATATTAGAACCTTAAACAAATTTAATCCTTTTAAAAAGTGTAGAAAAAACGTTATAAGAGATATTTTGCTTTAATAAAAAAAGATCACACACTTTTTAAAGGCTTTGATAGCCAGTTTTTATGCAAACATATTATGCAAAAACCCCTCGTGTTTGTATTTATATTTTTCTGTATTTACTCTTACGGCTAAGCTTTAAAAAATCGCTATTTACATGTGTACATTTGATGTGCTTTTAAAGCCACCCCAGGGCCAGCTTAGGGGCTAAATCTATGGCTAAGTATCGCTAAGGCTAAATGGGAGGTGCTACCAAGGATACACGGAGATGGTACTGAATGGCCCTTCAATAGAGGAGTCTTTTCTCGTAGATGCTGTCCCACAGCCGCAGCTTCTCGGCCTCTGGCAAATCTATCACTTGCACATCATTCGATATATTTAGGCACTTGAACACAGCATCCTCCCGCGAGATGGGCAGCCACGCCCCCTCGTGAGCCTGCTTTTCGTCGTGAGTGACCATCGGGATATTGGGATCCCCGCATATGGCGAACTGGACGACCATTGAAACCAAACGTCGTATTGTCTTGAACTCGGCCGTACGGCGCTTGAGCTTCTTGGCCGCGGCATTGTAGAACAGGTAGGAAAGGTCGTCGGCGTGACAGGTGCCGCGCACCTTGCGGCCGCAGGTGATGATCCGCATTATGTTGAAATGCTTGGAGTCGAAATCGAAGCGGTACAGGAAAGTTGGCGCTAGCGGAGCATGGTGGACACGAGAGAGCAGGGTCCGGTGGATACCGTGCCAGAAATATTTGTACGAGAAGAGCTAGAAGTGAGAATAAAACCATATTTAAAATAGAAAATATATTTTAAAAATATCGTTAAGCTTACATCACTGTACTCCAAGATGGTCTTCCTGCTGGGCGTCCTGTCGCCAAAATATGCCTCCCTTACCCTTCTACCAAAGGCCTTCCTCTGCTCCTCATTCGGATGGGCATCCGCGGGAGCCAGGTTCTCGCAGTCTCCCAATTGACAGAGAAGCTCCGGCCACTTGTTCACCTCGGGGAACATCAGGAGTCCCTCGAAGGAGTTGCCGCCAATGACCATGGGAATACTGTTGCCCCAGCAGTTGCGCATCATCTCGAGCGGCGATTTCGGGATCACACAGTGTGGCGTTTGATAGGGTTCGATGGTTGGGCCAAAGCAGAACATGGTCAGGCGCTGATGGCGCTCCTCCATGGTGATGATGTCCTCGGCCACCTTCAGCATGCTGCTCGCCTTGCACTTTTTGAGATGTGCGAATATCTCGCGGTCGTTCTGGTCTCCAGAGTAGCCGGTGGCCTGGGCCAGGCGATAGGCCCAGTTTATCTGAGTGGGCGTCTGGGCCCAGGGCGCCAGAGCCGAGCCGGACATGATCACGGTCTTGTGAAAGAGTCCCTTGGCTTGATCCGTCAGCATCATGTAGTGGGTGGAGGCGCCGCCTGCACTCTCTCCGAAGATAGTGATATTCTCCGGATCACCGCCAAAGAAGTGGCAATTTTTCTTCACCCAGCGCAGGGCCATAACCTGATCCTTCAAGCCTGCATTTCCCGGCACATCCAGCTCTTCATCCTCAAGGCTAAGAAAGCCTAGAGCACCGAGCCTATAAGATATCACCACTAGGACCACGTGCTCCATCATTATATAGTCCGGACTGTACAGATCCCGCGAGGCTTCACCCATTTGGAAGCCACCGCCATAAATCCACACCAAAACTGGCAAGGGTTTGTGTGGATGTAACTAAAAGAGAGATGTTTATATAGAAATTATTTCAGGCAATAAAAATATGTGTTTTTTTATAAATGTAAAGAAATCAAGGAAGTAGCAGTAGTATACAACACATTTGGCTACCCCTTTAAATTAACTTCAAAAGCACTTTCCTACTTTCAGTTAAATTAATTTTTTTATCTAGAACTTAATACCCTTTTTAAGAGTACACCATAAAAACATGAGTCAACGGGGCGATAAAAATTTATATGTTATTGTTAACACCTGTCTACGAGTCAGCTAATTGAGTAACTGGTTTGAATAAGTAATTTTGTTTTTACTTTCTGATCCTATCAATCAACTTAAATAACTAGAGCATAAGTTTAAAAAGAGTAAACACTATTATTTTCTTTAATCATAATTATATAAAACTAAATCAATAGGTAATTTTGTGAATTAAGTAATTAATATTCATCCGACTCACCTCCCTTGTATACACGTTAAGATACAAACAATCCTCGCTGCCCTGCACCTGCTTGAGCACTATGTTCACCTGGCAGGGCTTGGAGCGAACCCGGGTGCAGCGCCGCACCTCGGTCCAGTGGTCGGGCTCCACGGGCGCCTTGAAGCGGAGCTCGCCCAGCGGGGGCTTGGCAAAGGGGATGCCCTCGAAGCTGTAGTAGTTGTTGCCATAAATCGACTGCCACTTCACCCCCTTGATCTTGCCATAGACCGTGTCGGCGATGACCTTGTCATTGCTGCGCAGGCGCTGCTGGTTAGTCTTGAACTTGACGTAGCTGCAATAAGAGAAACGTGGCCGGAGGCAGGGTCAGAAACACTTCACTTTTGCTGGGAGGAGCACCCCTCCGAGTGTTTGGCAGTTTGCTGTCGGTGTTTGTAAACAAATACTTGCCGTTTTACGGCGAGTTTTCTAGTATTTTTTTGCAAATTTTCAATTAGCGCGTAAACAAAACGAGGGTATAAATAGCCAATAGTGAAAATAGAATGGCAGTGCGATGTGAAGAGTCTTGTGATGCCCTATAAGTATCCAGAAACCTATAATATATTGAAGCTAAGGGTTATGCTTTAGGTAATATAATAATTCATGGATATGTTCTGTTTAATCATAAATATTTTGTTTTTAAAATTGCAAAATTTCTGGCCTCGACCACTGCAAGATTTCACGTCAGTTTAAATTAAGAAATATTAATAGTGTTGGATACAATACTTAAACAATTTTAAACTTTTATTAAAACTAATATTGATACAAGTAGATAAATGGTTAATATTTTTACAATTTAGTATCGAAAACTTGCAACTATAAAACGTATTTTCACTTGTTATATTCAAAACAAACCCTCCCAAAAGAACCTAGGCTGCCAGACTTCATTTGGATATTAATGGGTGCACCGTAGATTATCGGAAATACCACATAGCCGTGGAGGCGTGGCCCATTTAGATTTCAAGTGCGTTTCCATGTGGGAACGTGCGCTTCAAACGACGCGTGAGCCGATCCACAACAGACCGCCAAGTAGAAGATCTCATAAATGCCCGGACCCGTAGCCGCATAGTAAAACGGAATGGAATAAAGAAGACGGAATGCCCGGGCACGCTCGAGTCGGGTATGATGACCACAAATCATGAGAGCAAACGAGTCTACGGGCAGTAAACAGAGGCAACGATCAATTAACAGCTGCCCAGTGTCTACTTGTGGCGTTTCGGTGGCCTTGAGGGGCTGGGGATTCCAGTAGAAATCTTTAGCGAGATGCATTGGTGTGATTTATTAGATATCAAGTGCTAATTACAGGTTTCCATTTTTCCGAGGTCAGGCCCTAAGATCCAGTTTTCGAGCTATGTACACCAATAGTTCTAGAAAGAGAACCTGTTTCTCGTTTGTCCTCGATCGAAAGTGAATTAAATGAACCACATATTGTATTCATTAGCAGCGTGGGGGGAATAAAATAATAATAGTCTGGCATAGAACGAGCTGGAAACATTCGGTCAAAGATGAAATGGTCTCTGCATAAAAATTAACAAATTAAGGAAATCCAAAGTCAATACTTTCCCCAGTCCATTTCAAACATAATTGCCCGTGCATCTGTTTGTATTTGTATTTTTTTAAGAAAATAAACTGAGCACTGGGCTACTCAAAATATTTACAGATTAAAATACGTTTGGGCTGTGAAATGGAAATGAAAATGGAAAATTTCGGCAAATCAATCAATATTGCCATGCATCAAAGCGCTGCATGCAGGTCAATGGCATTTTGCTTGAGTGCATTCAATATTCAATATTATTCTCCCAAAAAAAAACGAGAAATAAAGAAAGTATAATATTCCATATTTTTCAATTTATCAAATTCAAGCATTCATGTGAAAAGCGATGCTGAAAAGCAACCGAATATTGTATTTATTTTTTGTTTTTTTTTTCCTAAAACAATTTAAGCTATTTACAATAAGCTGAGAAATTTATTTACCACAGTTTCTAGCTGACTACTCGTAATACAGACGAATTAACGAATTACTCAGCAAACATAAAAGTGAAAGGAGTAATTCAAATCGTTTTCAATTGTCAATTTCCAATTTAAAAGGCATGTTACAATTTTTGTATATTTAAATGAGAAAATGCTACAAGAAACTAAAGCAAATAGGCAACAGTTAAAGTTTGTCGATCAAAATGGCAACTAATTTGCATAGATCCAATGAACTTCTCCGCCTCTTGTTTACCTTGCCTGACTTCTTCGCTTGACTTCTTTTCTGCCTCTTTTTACCATCGGTATCTCTGGCTTTAGTCAAGTTTTTATTGTTGAAGCCAAAACTTTTGTGCTGAGGCTGCAACTCGGTGTAATTGCCTTGACATTTGCAAATCGTGATTCTCGGTAAATAACCTTTTAATAACTTTTTTTAAAGAGATAATTATGTGACCAAACATTTGTCACTACCCGTAGAGCGTTTGATTTCGCACATAATCCAGCTGATAGGGCCGCCATTTAAGCTTGTCATATGATTTATACACGCGGCCAGTAAAACAGTTAGTAATCTACGTTCTGACGCACCTGTAGTGACCGTCCTGTCCGCACACGCCTATTCGGCTTTAAGTTCAAACCCTTATCGGCCCACAGGCTGATACCGATAATTGATAATTAACTCAAACTCGGAACTCAAACAGAAGTAGTCTTATCAACTTGGTAGCTAGCTTTAACTTTTTGCACCTCGAGATCCCTGATTCTGATTGAAAATGATGTGTAATGCTGAGACCAGATGTCTGCTGATCGCTCGAAGATCTGGCTTCAATAGCCCAAAATAGGCGAGACTTTGTCCGGGTGACGTTTGGATTTAATGTCGGTCTCGCCAATGCCAATGATGCGGATGCAAAGCTGACTGGCCTGTTGGAAACGAGACCTTATCGGCGCTTCTATGACTATTTATAAGACTTAAGCGGTGAACCGGATTTCGACATTTGCTCACAGCAGCCTGTAATCGCCTGATAAGAAGTTGGGCTCGGCGGGCCGGACTTGTCTTATCAGACAGAGCGTCTCAACTTGAGACACGTACGGCCCTGGCAAGTGGCGAGTGCTCTAGTATATAGCTTCAATTGACCTTATTGATTGATGGGAGCCGGCTCAATGAATGTTCCACGACCAAATGCACCATGAGAAATAGCTTGGAAGCTGGTTTAGATATCAATAATATCATAAAAAATGTTAATGTTTAATGCTTATAAAGCAAACAATTTAAGGGAGAAATATGAATTTGTTATCAATTTGGCGGAATTTTCGCAATGTCATGGGTTTTAAAGAATGTTTCATGTAATTCTGATGTGTCAGTAATGTGTTTAAAAATACGGATCATAATTTATTTATAACACTCTGACATTTTTTATAGTAGTGCTAACTTTTTTATGGGATTTTTATATTTAACAAGAACATGTTAATCTATAAAATAAAGCCATAAGTCATTTTGCTATTCAATAAAGATGTTTACTGTGTTTTAATTATGGAATTAGTAATGAATTAAATAAGTACTAAGAATAATTGAGACTTGAACTTACTTTAGCGCTATGCGCATCTGATCGGCCACTGCTATATCGAATGACATCTTGCTGTGGTCTCACGGCGCTGCAAGGAATCAATTCTAAATCAATTCCCTTCCGGTTTTATGTGTCTATATGGGCAAAACTAAAAAGTACACAAAACACAATCCGCAATCTGTTGAAAATCCCAGGCACCAGACGTAAAAAATCTATAAAATCGCGGCTGGACAATGGGGCGAATGCGTAACGGCAGCACTTGTATCGGCCGGCTGTTGCTTAATAACTTTAATTTGTATTTCTCGCTTCTAAGGCGGAACTATTTGAACTTATTTGCGTTCACTCGCGCATAGGAATGTCACATCACTTGTTGCTGCTCCAATTTCACAGATGCGGTTTAATTGAAAAAAAGTCAGCGGACCGAGGGAAAGAATTTCCAGCCTGAGAATCTAAGGCTGACGTTGCGCTTCACTCAGGGGCCGCTCGGCAACTGAGCGTTTAAAGTAAGCGCCGGCTAAGTTTAGTGCCCGCCGTTCGCCGTTCGACTCACACTCACACGCTCAGCGGCGGTGTGATGATTTTTCCACTCGTTTGCTCATTCCGCACTGGCCAAGGGGTCGTATGAGTGATATTCTTGCCGCCGTACTCCGGGCTGCCGTGTGTGCGCGCTTCGCACTCAAATGCCTTTGGGCATTTTGTCTACTCGAGCGAATCCGCCTGCTGGCCGTGCTGGGCGCCGTTGTTTTGTTTCAGCGTTATCGTTTTTGTTGCTGCCGCGTTGCTTATTGTTTATAGCATGCGCAGGTCTCCGGCAATCAGCCTCCCGCGTTTGTTATTAATGTTTGGGCCGATATTGGGGGTAGAGTTTTCAGGACGTATAGATGTTGAGAGAGGTCAGACTGATTTTAAAGAGGTTGCCTTGATTTTGAATTTTGGTAACTAGAATAAAAATATAGAAGGTTAACTAGAGAAATATCTAAAGTATATAAATTATTTATTATTTTACTAATCGCATTCTTTTATACCACAGAACTAATTCAATTTCCTACATTATTCGATAGCTGTAATTTAATGAAGTGCCCTTCCTAGAAGACTGACCGTGATAAATCTATTTTATGCAATTAACAAAGTAACTCGCGATACCATCAATACCTTACATGGGGGCATTATACGAAATCGATATAGGAAGAATGCTGGCCATCAGAAAAGTACTTCCAACTAATTGGGGAGGAGAAATACTAGTAAAATATAGTTCTCGTAATTATAGAATATTATATAGTTGGCTTACTGCGCCATTATATCCGTAAGCCACGCAAACTGACGTGCGCTTACTTTAGTTTGATAAGTTAACCGATGGCTTTTTCATTTTATTTTACAAATTTTATTCACAACTTAATTGGTCAATTAAAGTGAATGAGAGAGTTGATCCCGCTTCGAGCTTGTTTTCCGGCTAATTTACTGAGAACGCCCTAGCTCACTCATCACCAGATTTTAATGAATTTTCAATTAGACATGTTTCTGCCGAAGGGAAAGGACACTCGAGTGACAGACATTAAAGTTAAATGATAGACCGAATTGCCCTAGGACACGTTGTGTGTTGGGCTCACCTATCTATACCTCTGCCCAGCTTGAACCATAAATTATGCAATATGTAACTCGGCCCGAGCAATGCAATGCACTCGGCCCATAAATAACTAGACAGCGATGAAGCACTTCTGATCAAGTGCCTGGACACCAATAAAGGCTTTGGTTCTGTTTCGATAAGCACACAAAAAATATATATAATTATAAGCATGTTATTATCACTGAAATTTGTTATCTATCTATTATTGAATAATTTGAGGAATACGGTTATTACTTAAGGTAATTTAAGGCGAAGTAAATTTCAAAAAGGTTATTGGTCATTACTTATAAAAAAAAGGAATTTTAATGAGCTTTTAGACAGCAAGAATGGTCCGTTTAAAACCAAAAACATTAACAACCGTGAACGTCTTACCTCCTTAGTTAGTTATACAAAAAGTATGAGGCTGCCGCTTCTTAGCCCAGTTAATTAATTTAAATATCAGACAGATTTGGATTCAGGGTCTAAACTGTATTAAATTTGGATATACATTGAATGGGATCTGTGAACTACCAGTTGACTTTACTCTGGTCGCTTTTCCGCGTTCTTCTTGGTGAACTCCTCGGCGGTCTTCATGAACTTCTTGTGCTCCTTGACAAACTCCTCGGCCAGGTCGGAACGCAGCGGATGCTCTGGCTCTGGATTGTGGATGATGGCCACCAGAGCCTGCAGCACGTCCTCCGTCCGCGTGGTGGGCTTCCAGTTGTCAGAATTGATAATCGACAGACACACCTCTCCCTTCTCGTCCACATTGGGGTGGTAGATTTTCGTCTTGAAGAGGATCTTTGGCGGCATGAAGGGGTATTGGGGCGGGAAGGTGATCTCGATGCGGAATGCGCCCTTGTTGTAGGGGGCCTTTTCCGGAACTAGCAGTCCCGTCCACAGCAGCAGGGTCTCGTCGCTGCTCTCAAGGTTCCGCAGCGTGCTCATCTTGGCATCATTCAAGTCCGAGAGCTCGCGGGTCAGGCGACGAGTGGCAGCCATTCTATCAGCGGGTAGGATCCTCGGCCTTCGTGTTCCTTGCGAGTCTAAAGAAAACTTACTTAATTTATTTTGTCTAAAAAGCAGGGTTGCTATTGCTTTTATTGGAAACTGACAGCCTTGTTCAAAAGGGTTCGGCGAACCCCTTTAAACTGAAATGTATTTTGTAAGTCACAGAGAATGACAACAATGTCTAAGGCACATGAACATGCACATATACATAAGACAAAAGTTTATATACAGCAAAAATGTTGCCTTCTTTTTGGCGGCATGATTTTCTAATCAAGAATTTATTGAAGAAATTACTGTAAGTCCAATTTTTTTAAATGGTTTTTGTACAACTCACAACCTGATCCCAATAAAATATTTTATGAGTTTTATTAAAAAAGCAAATTAGGCTAATGGTTATTTTTATAATATGTTTAATTACTTCATTTAAAGCTATCGAATCACCGTGCTTTCGATCAAAACTACCTCTTACTTTAAAAATAAATAACTAAGGAGTTTATTAGTGTAGCAACGATTTATTTTAATAAGCTTAATTATAATAATTAGCTAAATATTCATCTATATATCAAAATAATTAAATTCTTTAATTTAATTAATTCTTTAAAACCCGCTTACCATTTTGAGTTAAGCAAATTATGCAATATATATTTAATAAAGCATTCTGTCCTATATACAGTTTTTAGATAATTATTTATATTGTTTTCAGCACAACTCCTTAAAACAATAAATCCTTGTTGTCGTCGTAAAGGCTCTCCCAGGCCCTAATCTTTGGCCATTCGGGCAGATCTATGAACTTTAGGTCATCGCTGATGTTAAGGCACTTGAACACCTCGTCGGATTTCCTAACTGGGTCCAGTGTCAGAGTGTCCATGCCGTTGATCTTCTCGCTGTAGGGATTACCGGTGGCTGCGAACTGGGTCCAAATTCCGATAGTTCGCTCGATAGTCCGGTACTCACGACTTTCCTTGGGCAACCGACGGGCCAGCAAGCTGGTGAATTGGTAGGTCAGATCATCGGCATGGCTCACTCCCTTGACTCCACGGCCGAAACGCATCAGGCGGTACGGGAAGATGAGCTCCTCGGAGTCAAAGTCGAAGCGGTAAAGGTAAACTGGAGCCCCGGCTGCATGGGTGTGTCGGGAGCGGATCACCCTCAGAGCCGGAAAGACAAAGTAGTAAATCGAACAGAGCTGGAATTAAAACCATTCTTGTAATATCAATAGGATATACTCTATGGAAACCCTTACATCCATGTAATTATCGGCGGTGGCTTCTGTTCCGGTGCGAATAGCATCGCGGATCTTGGCACTCCAGGCCTCCAGCTTTTCCTTGCTAGGTTTCGTTGCAAGCAATTCCCGCGGAATGAAAGGAGTTCCAGCATCCACCTGCTGAACCACCTGTGGCATCAGTTTGATTTCTGAAAAAATTATATTCTAAATTGTATGCTGAAACGTCAATTAATAGATCATCTTGCCTGGCATCCACAGCAGTCCCTCGTAGGATGTGTTTCCAATCATCATGGGGATGGAGTTACTCCAGGCCGTCTTCATCATCTCCTTTGGCGGCTTAGGTATCACACACTCAGGCGTGTGGAACAGCTCCAGCGACGGACCAAAGGCAAACATAATCTTGTTCATGCGATCCTCCAGCGTCAGAACATTCTCCTCGACCCGGATGAGGTCCTTGGCCTTCACAGTTTGCAGAAAATCCAGCACATCCTTGTCATTATCCTCCCCCTTGTAGCCCGCTAGCTTGGCTATCCTGTAGGGATTGTGGGTAATGTCGCCGTTGTAGGCCCAGGGCGCAATGGCACTGCCCGACTGCAGGATACCCCGGTGAAAGAGTCCTTGGGTCTGCTCGGTTATCATCATGTAGTGAGTGGACGCTCCCCCAGCACTTTCTCCGAAGACGGTGATGCAGTTGGGATCTCCGCCGAAGCTGGCGCAATTATTCTTAATCCACTTGAGGGCCAGCACCTGATCCTTGAGACCAGCATTGCCAGGCACGTTTAGCTCTGGCGACTTCAGACTCATGAAACCTAAAGGAAAAGGAAATAAGTATTAAGACTTAAGAGTTACAAGTAATGAATGACATACCCAAGGCACCAAGACGATATTGGATAGTGACGAGCACCACATCTTCCTTCATGAAGTAGTCTGGGCCATACCACTCCCGAGTGGCCTCGCCGATGATGAAGCCACCGCCATGGATCCAGACAAGTACGGGTCGGGGCTTGTCGGGAGTAACCTGAAATAAATAATGTTATATCTGGCACGTGTTATTAAGAAATTTTAGTAGATTAAATATATATTTTTTTTTTCATCTGCCTTGGTTAATTCATTTATACTGAAAATTTTCATAAATAAGAAACTTTAGTACACTTATCTCTAGCTTCTTATATGTTATCTTATTTTGAATCCGCTCAATGCAAATATCTTGTTTGGCTTTATGGCTAATGCTGGTTTAAAGCTTAAATTTTGTAAGGTATAAGATTGCATCACTGAAAAAGTACCTCTTAAATAAAGTCTTGGCAGTGGCTCAAAGTGATATCATCTATAAGGTCAGCATTTATAGAATGGTCATTTGTAATTAATAAATAAGATGAAGTCATCCCTTTGGATGGTTAAATACCTTGTACGGTTACAATTCAAAGTTTTCTTAAATTTTTATTTAATAATTTAATTTAATTTAATTTAATTTAATTTTAAAAAACATTTATAATATTACTCACGTTGTTGGTGAATACATTTAGGTAGAGGCAGTCCTCGGAGCCCTCGACCTTGTCAAGAACGAACTGCACCTGGACGGCCTTGTCTTTGGGCTGGCTGCAGTCGCGAACTCCCTCCCAGGGTGTCGGCCGTTGCGGTGCCTTAAATCTCAACTCACCGACGGGAGGCTGGGCATAGGGGATACCCTCGAAGCTGAAGTAAGGCACATCGTAGAGCGACAGTCGCTTCACACCCTGAACCTTGCCGTACTCGGTCTCGGCCACCACGGTCTCATTGGTGGTCTGGCGATACTGCTGGACCTTATGCTCGATGGTTCTGCAATTGCGCGACGAGAGGAAGCGTAATTAGCATAACAATATTGGACACAAATAGCACCCGGATAATTTGATATTTTTGTCACAAAGTCAATTATTTTAATTCAGTCTCAAAGCCACATGCCACTGGGCAGAATGCATGCATTGCATTAAATTTAAATTGTTTTGCTGCTGTTCATCACATCGAATCCACCGCCAGCCCAACCCATAACCACCCATCACAATCCATTTCTCAGCTCTAAAAATGGATAGAGAGAAATACTTTGAACTAATTTTTGATTGGGTCATTTAAATGATTACATTATTAGGTTGCTAAAATATAATTAGAGTTGTATTTTATATCTTCTAAGCTTGTTATTTTACTCAGAAGAAATAGTACCAAACTATAGAATTTGTATATATGTAAATACTAAAAAATAGCTGCAAAATCTATAACCTGAAAATAATTTGTTGAGTGTATGCATAGCTGCAGTTGCAGACTGAGGCTGGTCATCGGGCTTAGGTGGTACAGTCGACTGTGTGGTCCACCTGCTAACCAGGCACGTCTGTCAGTGATAAATTAACACAGTCCGCTGCCGGGCTCCTGGCAGTGCTGCTGGTGGCCAGTCAAGCAGCAATCCGGAGTACTCGAAATTTCAGGCACCGGACAGGCCTTAAATCATTTCCAGCTCGGACTACCCTTTGGCTCTCCGTTAATGAACACCAAAGTATGCTCATAATGCTCATAATCTTGTGAATATATTATGGGCATAGGCCATTGTTCTGTCTTATCGTCAGCTGCCTGTTGGTTATCACTGACTGAGGAGAGTAGGCCTTATTATTTTATTTCGAATTAAAAATAAAACACCAATTATCAGAAGGGTCACGAATATCACCTATTTTCAGGTCTAGCGGCGTAAAAATAAAATTAATTGCACATTATTAGCTGGACAGAAACTGCGTTATGTTGTATATATTAACAATGAAGGTAATGTGAAAAATTGCTGTTAATTATTCAGAGCCCTCTACAGAGTTTATAATTGCATTATATTAAAGCAGAAAAAATGAAATCGCACCTATTTAGCTGTCAGCGTGATACAATTTTAATATGTCAATTATAGGAGGAATACGGGGAAACGTGTTGAAACTGAAACTTTTTAGTAATCGAGTCTTCAATATCAAGGTTATGGCGTGTGATAAGAGCCTGAATGACTTGGGAAATTAAATAATTATAGCTGGAGTGAAATCAGTGTTTAAGGTTATCAGTTCTAGGTCCTAGTCTACAGTCTTTACACTGGGGAGCACATATTCAGTTACCAAAATGTGTTGACGTTGCACAACAATGTAACCAACAACCATGTTCAAACCCATTTGCTTAAACAAACTGAATTTGCGTTTCGATTAAATGGCCATTGCCATGACATTACGGCTATGTGAAGTAATAAATATAAAATATTAACGCACGTTATACTGATTAAGCAATAAATACAGTTTTATGAATTTATCCAATGTCGATTAATGGTTACAAGTGACACTTTTATTACCAATATAAAAACTTTTTCGAATTTAGCGGTGGAAGATGGAAAAACTTGAATCTATGAAGTATTTATGTTGACTAATTTATGTGCCAAATAATGTACAAAAAAATACATCATTTTGTTTATTATTACTTGGAAAAATGTCCTATAAGCTAGTGTAATTATAGTATCTTTTATATATATATATATATTTTTTTTTTTTTTCAAGTACAAGCATTTTAAATTTAATATTCTCCCTACAATTTCTGAATTGCTTTGAACTGGAATCGAGAGTTTCGCAACCTTAATTAATTAATTTCATTTTATCAGCACTCAACGATGTTCCCCGATGACCTACCCACCTATATATTCGCGGGGCTTGCGTAATTCCTCAAAATCTAATCTGTCTACAGCAAAACTGACTCAATTAGAACACCAAAAATTAATAATTCCAGCCATCCCCAGAATTAGTCATGCCGGACAGTCAATAACAAAAAATTACCAATAAAAAAGAATACAAAAAACCGCAAAAAAATATATATTGTATACTGAGCAAACAAAGAACCTGAAACACAAACCGCTACAATCGACCACAACAATAGCACCCACAAAAAAGAAGACAGCAATCGAAAGTATAGAGGGGAAAGGCACACTCTCCGCCATTAATATAGGGGATAATTGAATAAATAATTCTCCGGCATTAAGGTCGCCGGCGAAACTTACTTGAGGCGCCAGCGCAGGCGCTCCACAAAGCCGAGGTTCCTGTTCATATCGGATAGACCAGTTCACCATACACGACACGATCGATTTGCTATATACAGATAGGTTCACGAGCTGCGTACTGTAGCGGGCCAGCGCCGAACTGAAACTGAAATTAAAAACAGACTTTTTCACATCGGATTCCAGCGGCAGAGCGCCAAATAGGCAAAAACAAGTGAACAACAAAAAATTATAGAAAAAATATAATACATTAACACAAATATCAGAATACAAATTAAGCCGAAAAAGAAGAACGAAGAGAGCCGGAGAGAGCAGAGAGAATGAAGTAAGCGAGAAGAAACGAAAAATTGTATTTCAAGTGCGGTGCGGAGATAAACAGCAACAGCAACAACAGTTACTGATATAGCAGCCAGCGATCATCGAGCGTGGGCTGTCACCCAGCGAGAGGCTCCGAGGGGTCCGGGGGGGATTTCAGGGGCCAGAAACACCTCCCGAAGCGCCTCAGGCGAATGCATAATTAATCGACACTGCGAAAAACCTAAAATATTCATTTGCGCAGAGCAAACAGTGCCAAGTATTTTGAGCTTAAGTATCTGAATCTATAAGCTGAGCTATCCGCGAGTACCCCTAAACTTGAACAAGTATCGGCAAACATTAGCTGTAAGCTAAGTAAGCTATAACCATTTAGTTTAATAATTAAACAACACTGCAAGAAATTATATCTGAGAGATCAATTTCTTGGTAACTAGGAATCTGAATCCACTATCTAGGCTTTGTTAAAGGTTTTTTTTCATTCTAAGCTGATAATATATGGGACACACCTTATAAATGCAATTCAAGTAATATTATTTACTCTCCAAAATGTAAATACATTTTTAAAAAACCTTTTCTAGAATATTATTTCTTTTATTTTACTTACTCTTTAGATATTTTCCAGGTACCTCCACTGTATCTTAAACTTAACCAAGTATCTGCAACTACTATAAGCTCCGCTATTTGTCAGCTACTTGGCAGTTTGTCAAGGGGAAAACGGGGAGAGGAGAGGCGCCCACTCTGAGTGGGTCAACAACATTTTGATCGCGCCGGCAAAACTACGGTAAACAAACAAATTTATGTGTTTTGTTTTTGTTTACACGATCGTAAAGCTCATGGCTGGTCTGGGGCGTTGGCGCAAAGCTTTCGATCAAGTAAAGCGCGAAGCTTTACAGTGGGAGTCAGACATTATTTTAAAGTAAAAAATATACATAAAATAAACTTTAAATATTTAATAAAAAATACAATCCTATAAAAATTTATACGAATTTTCTTATTCGGCCAAACAAGCTACTCAGCCACCTTTCGAGAGTTATAAATCCGATTCCATACCTCCAGGCCATCCTTTTCGATTTGCGTCACGCACTCAACGTTTTGCCCAATGTTCAGCACCTTGAAAGGATACTTGGCGGTGACCGGTGCCCACTGATCCGGCCCTGTCTCCGGACAGTTGGGATCGCCGGTCCTGGCGAAGGTGGTCAGTATGCTGACCATTCGCTGGATGGTGAGATACTCGGCGGAGTCCAGCGGCAGCTTCTTCTGGTACTTCTTTCGGAAGACATAGCCCAGGTCGTCGGCATGGCACACGCCGCGCTTGATATCGTCACCGCACAGGTTGTTCCGCATCAAGTTCCACTTGGGCGAGTCAAAGTCAAAGCGGTACAGGTAGGTGGGCGCCTGAGCCTGCGACAATCGTGACAGAACCACGCGGTGCATGCCGTGCCAAAAGAGCTTGTAGCTGAAAAGCTGGGAAGGGGTCGCCTTAAGATTCTTGGGTAAGAATTCACATTAAATCACTCACATCCAGAATCTGCGTAACATTGTTTTTTGTTATTCCACGGGGTCCATAATGATGCTTCACAAGTTCATCGGAGGCTTTGAGGCGCTCCTCATTGCTCATCGAGTGGTACAGTTCGTGCGGCAGCACCATCTCCGGCTCATGCTTCAAGAGGTCCAGCATATAGCCATTATCCAGCTTGCAAAAGGGATAAAACACTAGTCCCTCGAAGGAGGTGCCACCCAGAAGAAGAGGTATCTGTCCGGACCATGCCTCCTTCATCAGCTGCGGGTAAGATGATCGGATCAGTCCATCCTCGGTAGTGGCTGCGCCCGGAACGAACGGGTAAAGAAATCCGAAGCAACGTTCTCGAGCGGTGAAGAACTCGTGTCCCAGTAGCTTCTCGGCCGCCACGCTGCGCAGGAACTCCAGCATGGAGGCCTCCTCCTGCGGTCCTTGATATCCCGCCGCAATGGCTAGCCGGCAGAACAAATTCTGCCTGTCCGGAGTTTCCACCCAGGGACTCAGCATCGAACCGGACATCATGATGGCCTTGTGGAACAGACACTTTGCCTCCGGCAGGCACATCATAAAGTGCACCGACGCGGCTCCAGCACTTTCTCCGAAAAGCGTTATATTCTGTGGATCTCCGTTGAAGTTCCGAATGTGTTGGTTAACCCACTTGAGAGCCATTAACTGGTCGTGGAGTCCAGCGTTGCCGGGTACATTCGACTCCCGACTCGGCAAACTGAGGAATCCCAGCGAGCAGAGGCGATAGTTGAAAACCACGTAGACGACTTCCTTGGTCATCAGGTAATCCGGGCCGTATTTAGATCTTAAGGCACCGCCTGTGCGAAAGCCTCCTCCGTATATGTAGACCATTACCGGCAGAGGCGGCCTCGTTTCATCAAACTAGAGGCGAACTGACATTGGGAAATCACCGAATGGGTGTTAGGTTACTCACATGCTTGGTGTATACATTCAAGTACAGGCAATCCTCGCTGCCGATGACCTTGCCCGTCTGCCGGTCCACCTGCAGTGGTACGGGCTTCTCCTGCCGGGCGTCCAGCTCCTGGTTTCGCCAAGCATCCGCCGGACGCGAAGCCACGAACCGAAGCTCTCCCAGCGGCGGCTTGGCGAAGGGAATTCCCTCGAAGCTGTAGAATGCGTCGCCGTAGAGGCCGCACTGCCGGCGACCCCTAACACTTCCCACGGAAAGCTCCACAACTTTGGAGTCCGGGACACCTTCATCGGAGCTGGAGGTGTCGGGACAACCAGTGCCGAAGCCGCAGTGCGTCGTGTAAAAGCGCAGACATTTGCTCTGACTCAGACAACGACAAGTAGCCCGACAGAGTTTCCACATGTCATTATCAATACCGGGGCTTGACCAGAGACAAACAGGAACCTTGATCCGATTTTCAAAGAGCCTCCAAATTTTAAAACGAAAAATAAAACACATCTGATTGCCAACTGTACGAAACAAAACAACTGTATTGGCACAACGCAAATTTTGAACATAAACTTCAAGGGAATTTCGGAAAATTGAATGCCGTTTAGTGCGCCTCGATGGGAAGATCCTGTTGCTCGCAGTCACGACATTGGCAGCCCTTGCGGTGCTCCTCCTCCAGGAGATCGAATAGCTTCTCATTCTCGCAGACCTTATAGAACATGTTGGCATCACTGGACTCCTCTTCCTTACGCTGCATATTGGCGAGGTTATCTGTGTTTCCAGTCATAGTTTCGGGTGTCTTCTTGTCCTGCTTCTTGAATTTACAGAATTTTTGCAGCTGAGCATCGATGAGGGGTTGGTACCACTCGTAAGCTTTGGGTAGGGTAAAAAGTAATATGTGTCCTATAAGGAAATGATGAATAGGGGTCATTCAAGGCTGTCTAAAGTTAGATCGATATAGTAAAACTCACCAAATAAAAGCAATGTTATTCCGTTCAAACAATCCCCCAGCAAATTAATGCCACATAGCATGGCCAGGCATTTCAGGGAGTCCTCCCAGCTCTCCACCAGTATCAGTCCAATAATGCGGTTTAAGCCCTTGTTAAGATGATCCACGGCAACTCCCGCTAGTCGCATGGTCTCCTCTCGGGGAATATCAATCTTAACTTGCGGATACAGACGCCTGACCTCATCCTGGACTCCACTCGTCCTCCATTTTGAAAACTGGCAAAAACTGCGATATGCGACAGCTGCCAGGAGAACAGTGATGCCTGCCATGCTAATTACACTGATCACCGAGTGCGCCATGATGTCAAGCAGCAGGATCACCACGGTTGTGAATACTATCAGCGTCAGGCGGAAGTTGCGCCACAGCAGAAGATCCTTAACCGTCGAGAAAAGCATGCTTGAGGCCTTAGCCGGCTTCGAAATCTTGGAATCCATAATTTCCAACTTCATATTTTCAGTAACGGGCACAGGTGACGATCTGGGAGTAATAAGGACTTTGATTTTTCGAAAGTAAACCCAAAAGCCAACTTTAATTACGTTGAAATATATAAAAAACTAGAAGGAAAAGCCAACTATTGCAACCGAAAATTTGTTACCCTCCTCAAGAAGGCAAAAATGTGGATTTCCAAACTTAAGTAAAATATACACCCAAAAAACCATGAAGGATAATGTCAATGTGTTATTGATTAATGGCATTACTTACATATCCTTAAAACGATGTAAAAATGAGAGCAATATCCATAATATTATACAGGACTCAAAAAACATTTTTATAGTTTGACAATTGCACCAAGGTCTCGTATTAAATAGTTTTTTGACACTCAAAAATTGATTTTAAAAGCCCACTTGGGCTATACATTTATTGAATCAACTACAGTGTGTATTTAGAAAATAAATTTCATTCATTTTTGGAACTTTAAGTTTATATCAACTGATCCGGCTTGTATATGGAATCCCAAACCTTCAATTTTTCAAACTCTGGCAAATCAATGACTTTCACCTCATTGCTGATGTTGAGCACAGCCCTTGGATTTTCCTTTGTTGCCGGTTTCCAATTTACTTGGCCGATTTCCGGGCAGTTGGGATTGGAGGTAGCTGCGAAAGTGGTCCAAATACCAATCATATTTTGAATGGTGCGATATTCCGCCGAGGTCTTCTCCAGTTTCCAAGATCCGGCATTCCTAAACAAATAGCTGAGATCATCGGCATGGGCCACACCAGTCTTGATGTTATCACCACAGAATTTCGTCCGATAGAAGTTGAAGTTGGGGGAGTCAAAATCGAATCTGTAATAGTATGTGGGTGCTGTGGCATAGGCAAGGCGAGCGTTCAAGGTACGATGGAAGCCATGCCAAAAGACCTTATAAGAATAGAACTGAAAGCAAGGTAAGAAAATTTTATCCATAAGTCAACTATTAGATAAAATGATTCCTTAAAAGAATAATACTCACGTCAAGAATAGTCATAAAGAGCTCCGAACTGGGCGCCTGATCTCCGAAGTAGGCTTTGATCAAGCGCTGGCCGTACTCCGTATTTTTCTCGTCGCTGCTTACCTCTCGCACCTCGTGCGGCACCATTCTCTGGGGATCCTGGCTGAGACTGTCCAATGACTTTAGATTGGCAGCCACTCCGGGATACATGAAGAGACCCTCGAAGGAGGTGCCTCCTAGCATAGCGGGCAAGTTGTTGCTCCACGCATCTCGAGCCATTTCCACCGGCAATTTGGGCACAACACAATCCTCGCCCACATAAGACTCCACGGTGGGTCCGAAGGCGAAGAGCAGGCCGTTCCTCCGATGCTCGGGTCTAATCAGATTATGATTCACTAGATCTCTGGCCGGAACCCCACGTAGATGCTCCAGCACCTTGGCATCGTTGTTTTCGCCAGTGTAGCCCAGCTGCTGGGCCAGCCGGAAGCCGAAGTCCTCGGTGGGGGTTTTGGACCAGTAGTTGTGCACAGTTCCCGACATGGGGATGGCCTTATGAAAGAGGCCGCGGGTCTGCTCCGTGCACATCATAAAATGAGTAGAGCAGCCGCCAGCACTCTCGCCGAAGACCGTGATGTTGCCATCATCGCCATTGAAGTTTGAGATATACTGCTTGACCCACTTGAGAGCCAGCACCTGATCCTTGAGGCCAGCATTTCCGGGCACCTTCAGACTGGGGTCCTTTAGGGATAGAAATCCTGTAAAGAAAAGAGTTTTTGCATTTAAATATTTGACACTAAAGATGTCTGGTTTATAATTAAATGTTACCATCATATATAACTAAAAAGATTTGATTTTCTACAACTCCATCAGAAATTTACATAAGATTTCATATTGATATTTTGAACCTATTGATAAGATAAGAAAACAGTTTCGCAGCTGGGCGAATGCTGATAAGATATCATGTTAAAATTTCAGCTGACTCACCCAAACAATCCACGCGATAGTTTAGGGTTACCAGGACCACGTCCTTGGCCATGAAGTAGTCCGGACCATAGAGCTCCCGTGTGGCCTCGCCCACGGAGAAGGCCCCGCCGTAGATATAGACCATGACCGGCAAAGGCTTGTCGCTCTTCAACTGCAAAAACAAATCATCCATCAATAATAATAATCAATGAGATAAAAATTCAGCAATTAACAAAGGAATATTTATAAATTTCAATTAGAGTTAAATAAATACACTCATTGTTATCCTCTTATTTAATATTTTTCAGATATCCCCCATAATATTCACCTGCTTTGAGTAGACATTCAGGTACAAGCAGTCCTCTCCTCCCTCGATTAGTTTTGTCATCAAACTCCTTTGCGTGGGCTTCTCTGCAAAGTGGGTGCAGTCCAGAACCCCGCTCCACGGTTCCGCTGGTACGGGTGCCTTGAAACGCAGCTCCCCCAGCGGTGGCTTGGCAAAGGGAATCTTCTCGAAGCTGAAGTAGGTGTCATCATAGAGACTCTGGCGTTTGACGCCTCTAATTTGACCCAGGGGCAGCGTAAGTTCACAACTTTCTAGACTGCATTAAAAAGGCTAATTAGCTGAGAATCTCTCGTTTTCTATGTGACTTGAGCCCACCTCTCCGACATCGTTTGGCAGTTGTCTGTTCGCAGCGCGTGTCGTCTGTCAACTAAATAAAAACCATTTAATTTGTACGGGCAAAGCCAAAGCAACACGAAAAGTTCAAGCTCACACAGAGGCGTTGGAAAAAACGTGTCCGGTGATCGAGCTTTTTTTTTGGCACCTATACAAAGGTGTGGTGTTTTGGTGTTAATTTTGGTGAGCAACCTTATCAGGCAAACGTGTGAACCAACGGGGCTTATCAATAAACATTAAAAATATTACTTTTAGCATGAAAACAAAGTACAATTAAACATGATAAAGAGTTGATGGAAGGAGGTAAAAGGTTTATTAATTTATAAATAACAAGTATTTTTTAATGGTTCCATAAAAATATGTACAAATTATTTGAAAATTATTTCTCATTTTATTTAAACTTTATCCGTGGTGGGTTGTTCTGCCTTAGATAGTGTATTATCTGTACTGGAGAGGTACATATATCTTTATTGCTTTGCTTATCAAAGTGCTCAACACAAATCTCTAAGCTAGTGACTTTTATGATAAACAATATCTAGATCTAGACTACACAAGAACTAGGTACCAGGAAGCACTAAAACATCTCAATACCAGCCTGTTCGTATAGCCGATCGAGGCAAGCCAGTCTTGGCTCCTCGGGCTGCGCGATGAACTTCAGTTCCTCATTAATGTTAAGAAGCATCCGAGCACCAGATGATGTCAGGGGCTTCCAGTCCACCAAGGGTTTGGTTAGGGGAGCATTAGGGTTCGAGGTGGCAGCAAACCCGACCCACATGGCCACCATGCGGCAGATGGCGGTGAACTCTGGTCGCGATTTATCCAACTTAAAGGTGGCCGGGATCACGTAGAGGTACCCCAACTCATCACCATGGGTCACACCCCGAAAATCAGGACCCCAAAAACGAATACGGTAGAGGTTAAAGTCTGGCGAATCGTAATCGAAGCGGTAGAGATAGGTTGGTGCCTGGCTGTAAGCCAATCTGGCCCGGATTACTCTCTCCTGCGAGTGGAGCATGTCGATGGTGAAGAGCTCCTCCAACGCCCTGAAATGCGCCAAGTTCAGATCCTGGCCATGAGCGTGGCAGAAGTCCTCCAACAACTGAATACCCATCGCTCGTTGCTGGGCGGGACTGGTCGCATTCCTTAGGGTATTGGGAAGCACACTCTCCGGATAGGTCTGTAGCTGCTGCAATACCGTGGGATCGGTAAAAAACCCATTCACTGATAATAATCCTTCGTTACTAGTGGCTCCCAATATCAGAGGAATGCTATTGCTCCAGGAACTGCGTAGCAGGATAATAGGTTCCGCAAGGAGAACGGCGCCAGGTGTGACGTAGCTCTCCACACTGGGCCTGAAAGGCATGGAATGGCCACTACCCTTCTCTGCAGAAGTGAAAAAGTCCGCAGAGGCGAGTAGATGAGGATCGGCCTTTAGGAGAAAGTCTAAGACCTGCCTGTCGACGTTCTCGCCCTCGTAGCCCAAGTGCTTTGCCAGGCGATATTCCATATCAGGCTGGCGGTTCAGCTCCATGGAATAGCCTGCCATGAGGATGGTCTTGTGGAAAAGCCCCTCTGTCTGGGGACTGGCTAATAGGAGTTGAACTGCCATACTGCCGGAGCTGTGACCAAAGAGAGTAATGTTATCCGGATCGCCATTGAAGTTGACGGCATTCGCCTTGATCCAACGGAGGGCCAGGACTATATCCTTAAGACCTGCGTTGCCAGGTATTTCCAAGGAGGGATCCTCAAAAGCAAGAAACCCTATATTTAACATTTTGTGATGAATAAATAATTAAACTTAAACAAGGACGACTCCAATTATTATTGTTGGTTTAGAATAACTCACCAAATGGCCCTAGGCGATAGCCGATACTGACGTGGATGACATTCTCTCTCATAAAATAGTCGGGACCCCAGGCTCGTCTAGAGGGATCGCCGCCCTTGAAACCGCCACCATGGATATATACCATCAGTGGCAGAGGTTTATCGCTCTTCAACTGCGAAAGAAATCCTGGATTAATTAGCTTACATTTGAATTTGGAAGACTTACAGTTTTTGCGGAGATATTCAGGTACAAGCAGTCCGCGGAACCCTCCACCAACTTAGTATAGCTGCTCACTTGCAGGCACTTGTCCAGGGGCTTGGAGCAGTCTCGAATTCCGTTCCAGGGATCCATATCCTGGGGCTCCTTGAAGCGCCATGTTCCAAGTGGAGGAACAGCATACGGGATGCCATCGAAAGCGTAAAACTTATCGTCGTAGAGGCCTTTTAGCAAAGTTCCCCGTACTTTTCCGTGTGTCGTCTGAACGACAGGGGACGTCTCTGTGCTGAAAGAAGTCAGTAAATTTAAGAGGGTGAGGTTTTTGAGTAGGAAGTTATTTTTTCACTAGTCCGCCATCATATCCGCTCTCCAGTGCCGTTCAGCGTTGACTGTGCTTGACTGTGACAGAAAATATATGCTTCAGTAAGTGCTGAGGGATAGTCGCTGCTTATCAACCTTCGGCGCAAACATAGCTACGATAAATTTCTTTGATAAAAACTAGGGTTTAGATAACAAAGTGAAAAGGCCGTTTTACTAATCTTAATTACTTGGAGAAGAGTTTAGAAAATAAATAATAAATAATTCTTGTTATTATACATTCTACTTTTAAATGTTTCTGTAAAAAGTTTTATTTTCTTTAAAAGCATTATACTTCACAATTTAGATATTTTTTTTAGAAACAATATGTTAATATGCCAGGTGATATTTATAAAAAATCGTTAGGCTCGAAAATGTATTCTTATTAGTACTAAATCAAAGGCACTCCAGCCTGCTCGAACAGGCGATCAAAGATCTTCAGCATTGGCTTCTCTGGCTGTGGAATAAACTTCAATTCCTCACTGATGTTTAGCACCATCCGAGTGCCAAATCGAGTTACTGGCTTCCACTCCACCAGAGCCTTGGTAAGAGGGGCATTGGGGTCCGAGGTGGCTGCGAAATGGACTAGCATGGAGACCATGCGCCGAATGGTGTTGAACTCCGGTCGAGATTCGTCCAGCTTAAAGGTGGCTGGGATAACGAAAATGTATCCCAACTCATCCACATGTCCGACTCCTCGCTGCTCCTTTCCGAAGAATCGTATGCGGTAAAAGTTGAAGTCCGGCGAATCGAAATCGAAGCGGTACAAGTAGGTGGCTGCCTGGCCGTAGGCCAATCTGGCCTGAATTATTCGCTCCTGCGCGTGCACTATGCTGTGTGTAAAGAGTTTTACGAGTGCGTCCGAGTGAGTTACGGTAAGCTGTAGACCATGCGCCTGGCAGAAGTGGTCGAGCAGCGACTGGCCCAGCTGTCGGCCCTGGCCGGGATCGCAGCGAAGCCTCAACGTCGATGGCAGTACACACTCTGGACTATGTTGAAACCTTGAAAGCCATTTCGGATTCTTTTTCAAAAAACCCATGGGCATTAGGCCTTCGCCGCTGTTGGAGCCCAGGATAATGGGGATCCGGTTGCTCCAAGTCTTGCGCTGAAGTTCAACGGGCTCTGCTAGGAGGACAGCCTTGGGAGTCACATAACTCTCCACGGTCGGCACAAAAGGCATCATTAACCCTCGGTTCTTCTCCGCCTCAGTGAAGAAGTCTGACGAGACCAGCAGATGAGGATCGGCCTTTAGGAGAAAGTCTAAAACCTGGCTGTCGACGTTCTCGCCCTCGTATCCCAAGTGCTTTGCCAGGCGATACTCCATATTAGGCTGGCGGTTCAGCTCCATGGAAAAGCCAGCCATAAGGATGGCCTTGTGGAAAAGCCCTTCTGTCTGGGGACTAGCTAATAGCAGCTGAACTGTCATGCTGCCGGAGCTGTGACCAAAGAGAGTAATGTTATCCGGGTCTCCATTGAAGTTGACGGCATTCGCCTTGATCCAACGGAGGGCCAGGACTATATCCTTAAGACCTGCGTTGCCAGGTATTTCCAAGGAGGGATCCTTGAAGCTGAGAAAGCCTGAAATCCAAAAAATCTTCAACAATGGATTTCTATTGTACCATTTCTATTTCTTACCAACTTACCTATGGGACCTAGCCGGTGGCCGATGCTTATAAAAATGACGTCTTCTCTCATAAAATAGTCCGGACCCCAGGCTCGTCTAGAGGGATCGCCGCCCTTAAAACCGCCACCATGGATATAGACCATCAATGGCAGAGGTTTCTCACTCTTCAACTGTCAAATAGTTCGTGGATCAATCAGGCTATTGCAGATCCTTCATGACTTACAGTCTTCACGGATATATTCAGGTACAGGCAGTCCTCGGAACCCTCCACCAACTGGCTGTAGGTGCTCACTTGGAGGCACTTGTCCAGGGGCTTGGAGCAGTCTCGAATGCCATACCAGGGCTTCAGATCGTGAGGTTCCTTGAAACGCAGGGTTCCGAGCGGTGGAACAGCGTACGGAATGCCATCGAAGGCGTAGAATTTCTCGTCATAGAGCCCCTTGAGCAAAGTTCCTCGTACTTTTCCGTGGGTCGTCTGAACCACCGGCGAAATGTTCCTGCTAAATCCATTCTTTTAGGTATGAAAATTGTTATGTAAGAGAGATTTCTGTTACTCGTCGTCCGTCATCTCCGAATGCCAGTGCTGCCTAGATTGTACTGCGGGTTCCTCCATTGATACAGTGGAGTCCCAATCAATGAATTCGTACGATAACCGCGGCTTATCGACTTTAAAATGGGCTGTTGGCTCAGCTATCTCGAATAAATTTGCTTCACATAAACACGAGGCCAAACACGAAAACGAAAAGTTGGCCAACCCCATAGAATTTAAGACATTATCAGGAGCGAAAATGTACAGTATATTTTTGTGAAATATTTTAACTTCAGTTCCCCACAGAGGTTAAGCACTATTCGTGTTTCCAGTTGTTACAATTTTATATAGTTTGGGTTCTCCCCTGTGCGCTCGAAAGTAATTTAAAGATTAAATATAATAACAAAACAAATCATATCAGATTTTACATTTTATAAAGGCTACTGCCAGGCATTATTAACATATCCTATAATACTCTACACTTTTACAAATACTACGCTTTACAATCAAGGTAAATAAAATCAATTGAAAATAAAACTATTTATTTTAATTTTTGTAAATTTTGATACACTTAAATTTGAACTATATTGGCATTTTGTACTCTCGACTAGGCCGAAGACTCGCAAACACTCTCCCACACCCTTAGTTTCTGGAGCTCCGGCAGCTCCATCAGCTTGAGGCTATCCGAGACGTTCAGGCACTCCAGAGGCGAGTTGCTGTCCAGGGGCTTCCACTCCTTGTTCTGTGGCAGCTGCTCCTTGATTAGCTTGCAGTTCGGATTCGATGTGATGGCGAAGCTGGTCACAATGTCGATCATCCGTTGGATGGTGAGGAACTCGGGCGTGTGCCTGTCCAGCTTCCAGGAGAATGTCCCGTACCAAAGATACGAGTGATCGTCTACGTGGGCCACGCCTCGCAACTTATCCCCGCAGTACTTCAGGCGCTGGTGGTTGAACGTGGCCGAGTCGAAGTCGAAGCGGTACAGGTAAGTAGGTGCCCGGGAGTTGTGAAGTCTGGACTTCAGGGATCTTAGGATGGGATGCCAAAAGACCTTGTAGCTGGCGTACTGCAAGACATTAAAAAATACTGTTTTATATTGCGCTAAAAAAATTAAAAATTAAGTCACCTCGCAGTAGGCCAGAATTGACTCTGGCGACATAGAGGACAGATCGCTGTTCCCAAAGTGCGTCTCCTGAAGCCGCTCGCCCAGGTTTCGAGCCAAGGCCTGGGGCAAATTTCGCTTCACATCAAGAGGTAGCATGTGCTCCGGCTCCTTCTTCAAGCTCGTCAACAGGTACGGCGCCATATGGACCCGGGCGTACATCAGGAGTCCCTCGAACGAGGTGCCGCTCATCAGCACCGGAATCTTGTTGCCCCAGGCCTGGCTCAGCAGATCCTTTGGCTGTTTGGGCAGCACGCAGTGCTCGGTCTTATACGGCTCCACCATCGGTCCAAACTGGAAGACACAGTCGTCCAAATGCTCCTCCTGACTGAGCAGATAAGGCGTCACGAGCTTCTCACCCGGCAGGCTCTGCAGAAAGTCAAGAACCATGGCATCGGTCAAGTGCTCCGCATTTTCCAGTCCCAAATGGCCGGCCAGTCGATGGGGTAGCTTTTGGATCGGACACAGAGACCAGGAGCAGAGCACATTGCCCGACTGCAAGATGGCCTTGTGGAACAGACCCTCTGCATTGGGGTTCAGCATCAGATAATCCACGGAGGCAGCTCCAGCACTCTCCCCGAAAGCGGTGATGTTTTTGGGATCCGCATTGAAGTTGAGGGCATTCTCCTTGATCCATTTCAGCGCCAGCAGTTGATCCTTGAGGCCAGCATTTCCGGGCACGCCGACAGCGGGATCGTTCAGGCTCAGGAAGCCCAGGGGGCCAACGCGATAGGAAACCGTAACCACCACCACATTGCGCATCATAAAGTAATCCGGACTGTGCAGATCCTTGGTGGGATCACCCTTCTCAAAGCCACCGCCGAAGAAGAAAACAATCAATGGAAGCGGACTCGCTGAATTGAGCTGGGAAGGAAAATAAATATTAAAAGTTTGCAGATGGGTTTAACTTAAGTCTGCCCACAGTTATATTTTTGATGGCGCGTAGGTTCTTGACTTATCTTTTAACAACAAAAGTCAGCTGCAAAGTTTAGTCTTATCTGAATAAATTGTGAGGGTTATAGCTTTGCACTCAGACATGCAGACTGATGTGACTCAGCGTAAGAATTATTAAGAATATATGTATATTGTGTGCCAAGACTTGTAGCTTTCATAGGAGAAACTGGGCTTAATTACATTAAATAAAAAATATCCTAAAAATCTAATACAGTATAGCTTTACCTTCCTAGAGAGTAATATATTTGTGGCGATCATAAAACCGATAAATGTTATAAAAGACTATAGGACTCTTATGAACATTAGTGTTAATTGGAACACCTGAGAAAGGGTTAGTCAGTGGTGCCTGACTCGCGATGAAACTATCTTCTCTGCCCTGCCTCTGCCTCGGTTTTAACACTACGATATAAACTATTAACGACAGTATTACCTCCTTGGCGTACACATTCAGGTACAGGCAGTCCTCGACTCCTTCCAGCTGCTTGGTGTAGTGGTTGAACTGCAGCGGCTTCTCGCCCTTCTGGGTGCAGTCCAGCGGCTTGGACCAGGGCTCCACGGGCACGGGGGCCACGAACCGGAGGCGACCAACCGGCGGCTGCGCATACGGAATCCTCTCGAAGCTGACATACTCATCGCCATAAACTGCCGTACAGAGTTTTCCGAGCACGGGGCCGGTACTTGTGTTTACCTGCAAGCTGGAAGTTTTCCGAAATTAGATTAGTTCTCTGCAAGTGACAACGACGACCTCACCTCTCCATTTCCAAGTGTTAACTGCTCGCTGGGCTTTTTATCTAGCGGTGCTAAAAAACATTTACTCTGCTTTTTATCGCGCAATTCGAGAGGTCTAAAAACAAAAACAAATTAAAAACAAAATTGTTTCAGAGACAGCTGATTTGTAGTTTGCTTTTGTAGCTTGATAAGGTGTGTGTGTGTGGCTGATACACTTTGTGGTTGTGGTGTTGTTATTGTTATTGAGCTTTCTGCTGTTATCATCAGCTGTCCGTAAAGTGGCAACGATCAATGTCAAAAGCTCTGCTGTTGTTAAAAGTGGCAGCGACTGCGCTGCTTTGTTAACAGACAAATACCAGGGCTACATTTTAAAATATTTTCAGATATTTAACGTCTACAATTTAAGCCTAAAATGAATGATAAAACAAGAAAGCATCGAATTAAAAAAATGTATCATAACAAAGCCAAAAATGCATTATTTTCAATTTGGAAGCTTTTCTATGTTAGTTTTTAATAGGCTAATAAATCTGCATACAGATTTTAAAATTTTAGGAATTCAAAATTTTGCAAATTTAACGATGTAACCCATTATCAAATTATGAAAATATGCCGACAAAAATAAGTTTAATGCTGAATCAGCATTGCTGATCAAGAATATATTTGATTTATGGGGTTCGAAATGACTCTTTCACTAAAAACAAATCATAATACCCTAAAAGTAGACTGGAAATATTTAAATTCTTGAAATGAATATTTATCCATTTTTCTTTATCTTATAAAACAAAAAAAAATTGTATTAAATATTTAAAATGGATGACCTAAATGTGTATGTATTAAAAATGTTTGTTTAAAATTAGTTTTTGGTAAACAGAAATTATCTTTGAACCAATTTGTCTACTCTGTCACAATCCCTAAAATAAAACCAACTTTATTAGTGTTTTCCGAGCTTCTATTTGAATAATTTAATTTAAATTAATTCGATAAAGTATACGTACTTACACATCCGTATTAAAATTTCCTTAGTAAGTCTAATGAATATTTAGGTTTTCTTGCATGGAACTGGCAGTATGCAAAGTCCTCCCATTGGCCTATCAGTTTGATTTTAATTGTTACATACAAACATACGAAATACATAGTTTATAATTAAACAGCAGCTTTTCAATGTTTGTGATGTAAAAGCTCTTTTGGCACAGATCTATTTTTAATGCGCATTTGGCGAACAAAAAAAAAAAAATAGTGGGGTCTTCGGGTGAAGACAGCCCCACACGATCTTTCAATCCGAAAAAGAAACAAATGCACGCACTTAAAGTTACAGTTCTGGTCAAGGAAATAGCAATCAAGATAACAGTATGATTTTCAAAAAAAATAATTAATCGAATTTAGACAGTTTTTGAAACTCAGAAGCTGATATATATTTTTTTATTTTTAGGACCTAAAAGATTGATCATATCAGTGTTTGCTGCCGAACGAATATACATATAGAAGTGCTTAGGAAAAACGTAAATATGGATGAGTATTCGTGAGTATTCACGTGCGCTGCCGGCGCCGCTCCTGATTTAAACGGCCTCCGCAAACAGTTGCGATCAGTTGCTCGGCAAACTTTGATCGGTCCAATAATTCCGCAAAGGGATTTCTTTTCAATTTCACCACATCGAGTCCGAATAGCATCAGGCACCCAGCGCCCAGGCCGGCACAACAAAAGCTACAAAATTATGGAAATACAAGTAGGATGGCCCAAGCTGCTCAAGATGGGCGCCAAGTGAGTGCACAATAACAAACCCCCGGGGGTCCAAAAGTACAGGGCCAAGGTCGGACTCCGATCATCGCCGACTTCGAACAAGGCGCGACCCACCGTCGGCGGTTATCATCCCCTATCGCTTATCGCTGTCTGTCCCACCCAAACTCACACAATCTCACCCACAGGCTGGTGGGGCATAAGTTCCAGCAGTACCGCCTCGCCACAGGTCACACCGTGGTTTTAGATACCAATTACGGCCAGGTACGAGGACTCCAAAGGAAGACGGTGTACGATGAGGAGCTGTACTTCGCCTTCGAGGGAATACCCTATGCCAAGCCTCCGGTGGGCGAGCTGCGGTTTAAAGCTCCCCAGCCGCCGGAACCCTGGCAGGGAGTGCTCAACTGCACCACCAATCGGTCCAAGCCGCTTCAACGGAACATGATCCTGGGCATTGTGGAGGGCAGTGAGGACTGCCTACACCTAAATGTGTATGCGAAGACCCTGACATCGGAGAAGCCGCTGCCCGTGATAGTATGGATATATGGCGGGGGATTCCAGAAGGGTGAGGCGTCGCGGGACATCTACAGTCCGGACTACTTCATGAAGCAGCCGGTGGTATTGGTGTCCATCAACTACAGGCTGGGAGCACTGGGTAAGGTTCCGGGTTGGCATACATATTCAAATTGCAATCTACATACATTATTGACCATTACCTGCCACAAGCACACACGATTAGGTGATAAGTAAATACAGAAAAATGTTTTCCTAGATAAGGTTTCAGTTAGAGACGTGCAACTATATTATCAGTATTAAGAAGGAAGCATTTCAAACTATATAAATACATATGTAGGAATCGATTTTTTATCAGCATTGACAGTAAAACGTAGTCAATTAATAGCATAAAGCAGCTATAAAATATATTATATATATGTATACATACACATTTATATGAAATAAGTAAATATAAAATATTTAGCCTTTAGTTATAAAGTATTGGTTGACAAGAAAAACATTAACCTGAAGATTAGGATGTATGTATAATTACTTGCATTTATATTTGCTAAAATTATTATCATTTCAGGATTCCTTAGTCTACAAGACCCCAAACTCGACGTCCCTGGAAACGCAGGACTCAAGGATCAAGTACAAGCCCTTCGCTGGATTAGCCAGAACATTGCCAACTTCAATGGAGATCCCAACAACATCACCCTGATGGGCGAAAGTGCTGGAGCCGCCTCCGTTCACGTGATGATGACCACAGAGCAAACTCGTGGACTCTTCCACAAGGCCATCCTGCAATCCGGATGTGCTCTAAGTGAATGGGTGGAGAGTCCGGATCGGCAGTGGGCCTTCCGGCTGGCTAAGAAACTGGGCTACAAGGGCGGAGAAAAGGATGCGGATGTACTGCGTTTTCTGAGCCGAATTTCCGCCAAGAAGATAGCGACGTGTGACCAGGATATCATTACGCAGGATGAGATTCACAACTTTCTGCTTTTCGCTTTTGGCGCAGTCGTGGAGCCCTACGAAAGTGATCACTGCGTGGTGTCCAGGAGGCACAATGAGCTCCAGGCGGGCGCCTGGGGCAATGACATACCTTTAATTATGGGCGGCAACTCCTTCGAGGGCCTGTTCTCCTACCAACTGGTGAAAGGGGATCCCTGGGTAATGAAAAACTTTCACAACATTTTGCCCCGGGAAGTGAGCGAGGCCAGCAGCCAGGAGGAGCGGGATCAGCTGGTTCGACGCCTTAAAGAACTCTACTTCAACAACGGAGAGCAGCAGACCATGGATATGTTCGAGGCGCTGAATATATTCTCTCATCGCCAGGTATGGCACGATTTGCACCGCCTGGCTATGGCTCGAAGGACCTATGCGCCCAACAAGCCCACCTATCTTTATCGCTTCGACTTCGACTCTCCGCACTTTAACCAATTCCGGTGGTTGGTCTGTGGGAATCATATTCGGGGTGTGTCCCATGGCGATGACCTGTCGTACCTCTTCTACAATGTCATATCGTCGAGGCTGGAGAAATCCTCCAATGAGTACAAGACCATCGAGCGGATGGTGGGCATGTGGACATCGTTTGCCGCGAGAGGAAATCCAAACTGTCCGGAAATAGGAAATGCCAAGTGGGAGCCTCTCCAGCGGATGGACAGCAGCGCGGAGCAGTGCTTGAACATTAGCCACGATTTGGAAATGCTGGAGGCCAATTCCCTGGCCGTGTGGGACACTTTCTATCCGAAGGAGGCTCTCTTCTAGTTCTTAACACTACGATAAGTACATATAAAATTAGATGTCTGTAAATAAATTAGCCTTTAGTACTCTTTGTAGCGTAAAATATTTGCATGTCATGCATATTGTCCATTATCGTAGCCTAAAATACGCCAATCATGCTTATTGTTTAATTTTAAACACCTTGTATAATTTGTAAGCAAAGAAATATATAAAGAAAGCCCTATGTCTCTGGGTAAAACTTGCCATTTATTTTTACTTATAAATTTTTATTATAATATGGGCATTTCGTTTGTAAATCGATAAAGATATAAACTATTTTAAGCTCATACTTATATGTATGTATAAAGATATTTATTACATTTTTTATTTTCTACCGAACATAAACACTTTAATAAAGATTAATTAATTGACTAAACATTACGATTGCGGTCAAGATTAAATGTTTTCTTTAATAAATCGAAATGTCAACATTTTTTAAAAACTGTAAACATTATTAATTGTGAGATTAAAAAAATATCCTTTAGAAAATATTTTTAATGTTTTAAAGGATTTATCTCAAATAAATGTTAGTTATTAACTATATTGAAAATACATTTTTAAACAGTTTTCTGTGTAGAAACTGGGCTACAAGGGACCTGTATGAAGTGTAAAATTTACGACTTTTATTTGAAAAAGTTTTTTCTTAAAGATATCTACAACCATCCATCCATTTCTACTTGTCAAATACATACATAAAAAATATATTTTTCATTTTTAGAAAGGCTTATTTTGCTAACCGCTGCTATGCTTGATAGCGAATTTGTGACGGTGCTCCGGAAAACTCAAACACAGGTGCATTAGTGTAGTATATTCACGAGAGCTGACGGCGGTGTGCCTTATTTAAGGTGCCGCATTCGTCGATCAGCAATTAGTCGCACGTTAAACATCGATTGCTCTGACGCCTTAAAGGAATTAAACAAAACAACATCAAAAAAAAAAATAATAAAAACATAGTCCCCGAGTTAAAACAATTATGGATGTCCATGTGGAATGGCCTAAGCTGCTCAAGATGGGCGCCAAGTGAGTGCACAATAACAAACCCCCGGGGGTCCAAAAGTACAGGGCCAAGGTCGGATTCCGATCATCGCCGACTTCGAACCTGGCGCGACCCACCGTCTGCGGTTATCATCCCCTATCGCTTATCGCTGTCGTGTCTGTCGCAGCAACCCCCATCCCCCACCGAGCTCACCCAATCTCCTATCTTACCAACAGGATGGTGGGCTTTAAGTTCCAGCAGTACCGCCTCGCCACAGGTCACACCGTGGTACTGGATACCAAATACGGACAGGTACGGGGGCTCCAGAGGAAGACGGTGTACGATGAGGAGCTGTACTTCGCCTTCGAGGGAATACCCTATGCCAAGCCTCCGGTGGGTGAGCTGCGGTTTAAAGCTCCCCAGCCGCCGGAACCCTGGCAGGGAGTGCTCAACTGCACCACCAATCGATCCAAGCCCCTGCAGCGGAACATGGTCTTGGGCATTGTGGAGGGCAGTGAGGATTGCCTACACCTAAATGTCTATGCGAAGACCCTGACATCGGAGAAGCCGCTGCCCGTGATAGTGTGGATATATGGCGGGGGATTCCAGAAGGGCGAGGCGTCGCGGGACATCTACAGTCCGGACTACTTCATGAAGCAGTCGGTGGTATTGGTGTCCATCAACTACAGGCTGGGAGCACTGGGTAATTTATATTATTTCTATTTATTTATCTCTTTATTCAATAGTTTTGGTGAAACTTGATATTGTAAATTGTGTAAATCCAGTTGTTGTTTTTTATAGTGTGCTAATTTTAGAAGATTTTTGTATTTAAATTGTTAAAGCTAGATTCAGAACTTAGAAAATGTAAACAATGCCGATAAGAGGACTAAGGCGCAATAAATTTAGCCGTACATTACCAACGTAACCTTATCGCGGCTTAAAAGATGACACCGCTTTGTCTGCTCTAGCATCTCCCAAGCTCAAGTATTTTAGCGACAGATCTTTTAAAAACTTAAATATTAATTTCCATACTCACTTTTATTTAGCTAAAATAATATTTATATAATTATAATTATGTTTTTGATGTATTCATTTGAAAATTATCTTTTCTTTTTAGGCTTTTTGAGCCTCAAGGACTCTAGCCTAGACGTTCCTGGAAACGCAGGACTCAAGGATCAAGTACAAGCCCTCCGCTGGATCAGCCAGAACATTGCCCACTTCAATGGAGATCCCAACAACATCACCCTGATGGGCGAAAGTGCGGGAGCCGCCTCCGTTCACGTGATGATGACCACAGAGCAAACTCGAGGACTCTTCCACAAGGCCATCCTGCAATCGGGATGTGCTTTAAGTGAGTGGGCGAATAGCCCGGATCGCAACTGGGCCTTCCGGCTCGCCCAGAGTTTAGGCTACAAAGGCGGCGAGAAGGAAGCTGATATACTCCGGTTTCTACGCAGTGCTTCCGCCCACAAGATGGCGTCTGCTGACCAGGACCTAGTCACCCAGGACGAGATGCGAAGTTTCCTACTTTTTGCTTTCGGTCCGGTGGTGGAACCTTACGAGTCTGACCATTGTGTAGTGCCCAGGAGACATAAGGAAAGTCTCTCCGAGGCTTGGGGTAACCAAATACCTGTAATAATGGGGGGCAACTCCTTTGAGGGGCTCTTCTCCTACCAAGTGGCTAAGGGCGATCCGTGGTGCCTCAATAATTTTCAATACATATTGCCCAGGGATATTAAGGAAACCGCTAGCAGCAAGGAGCTGGATATACTGGTTCGACGACTCAAAAAGCAATACTTCAACGACGAACTGCATGAATCGATGGAGTTGTTAGAGGCCCTGAATATATTCTCCCATCGCCAGATATGGCACGATATGCACCGCCTGGTTCTTGCACGAAGGACCTACGCTCCTGATGTCCCAACATATTTATATAGATTCGATTTTGATTCTCCGCACTTCAACCAATTCCGGTGGTTGGTCTGCGGTGATAGTGTTCGGGGAGTGTCCCATGCCGATGAGCTGTCTTACCTATTCTTCAACGTAATCGCTTCCAGGCTGGATAAATCATCGGAAGAGTACCGGACCATCGAGCGGATGGTAGGCATGTGGACATCGTTTGCCGCGAGTGGAAATCCCAACTGTCGGGAATTGGGAAATGCCAAGTGGGAGCCTCTCCAGCGGATGGAAAGCTGCGTGGAGCGGTGTTTCAACATCAGCCAAGAGCTGGACATGAGGGAACTGCCAGAGGCCAAAGCGCTGGCCGTGTGGGACTCCTTCTATTCCAAGAAGGCGCTTTTCTAGAATAATTTGTATGTCTGCTCTCTGTCTCACTTTCCATTTATTATTTACAAATATTATAAATAGAAATATAAAAATTTATAGTTTTAATATAACATTAGAGTTTTTTAATGCGAAAAGTTTATGTAAATTCTTTTAAAATTTCCGTTAAATTCCTAAATCTCTTAAACTAAGGGCTAGGAACCTTTATCCTTGTCAGCTTATAATCTACATCGTATAAGCCTAACTACAAAAAGTAGCTATATTTCGAATAATCAGTCCAGTCTTTTAGGCAACTTTACAATTTCATCGTGTTTGCTGTTATCAAATATAAACCCGGTCATCATTCATCAGGCATTAGTTGCTATTTCCCAATTTTTGCAGTTTCGCGTGGCTAATATTCCATTGACCCCTAGATCGAGGCTGCAGGTGCGGTGCTCATTTTCTGAGTTATTAAATCGAAATCAGGTAATTTTCTGGCTATGGTTGCTCTGTGATAACTTAGCCAATTCGAATGGCTGGTTGAAATTTGCACTTAAAACCAGCTTGCTCCGATTTTTAAATGGCAAACCTTGGTGAGCCTTCCAGTGACAACTTTGAACCTGTGCTTCTTCGCGGCAAACTTTTCAATATCGTCCATTGTAAAAAATATCTATAGACTAAGTGAATAAGACGTCTGTCCAACACGGAAATTGTATTTCTATCTGATTCACGTATTCAATCTGTATAATTTTGTATACATTTTTGTCGAACCTTTTTAATTAGTCTGCCTAATAAAGTTTTATTAGCTGACGGTAGTTATCATGGTTAACGATTATGTGATGATGCTCCTGTAAACCCCTACAAAGGCTCACTTAAAAATATTAACCTCGCGTGTTTTTAATAAAAAGTTCAGTAAGCCTCCATCTACGATCAGTTCCACGCAAACAGCGCTCAATTCAACACCTTTGAGCAAAGGTTTTACGAATTTAACTCAAGCCAACTTTCCTTTATTAAAATAAAAATAAAACTTGTAAATATGGATTTTCGAATGGAATGGCCAAAGTTTCTCAAAATTGTCGCGAGGTAAGTAAAAAAAAAATAAATACAGAAGTACATTCTCAGGATTATAACTTCCCAAAATATGCTCATCCAATCATTGATATCCTTCACAGGATGGTTTTCCACAGGTTTCGTCAATACCGTCTATCCACATGTCACACTGTGGTTTTGGACACCAGCTACGGAAAAGTATGTGGCCTCCAAAGAAAGACGGTCTACGATAACGAACTGTACTTTGCCTTCGAGGGAATACCTTATGCCAAGCCCCCGGTGGGTGAGCTCCGGTTCAAGGCTCCCCAACCGCCAGAATTCTGGCAGGGAGTGCTCAACTGCACCACCAATCGGTCCAAGCCCCTGCAACGCAATATGCTGCTGGGGTTTGTGGAGGGCAGCGAGGATTGTCTGCATCTAAATATATATGTGAAAACCCTGGTATCGGACAAAAAGCTTCCCGTGATCGTATGGATATATGGCGGGGGATTTCAAAAAGGAGAGGCCTCTCGTGACATTTACAGTCCGGACTACTTTATGAAAGAGCAGGTGGTTTTTATTACCATCAACTACAGACTGGGAGCATTGGGTAAGTTTTCTGATTGTTCTTTGTATATAATTATAGGCTTTATCAGTAATTTCGTGCTGTTTCTCAATTTCAGGCTTTCTCAGTTTCAAGGATCCGAAGCTGGACATTCCAGGAAATGCAGGACTCAAAGACCAAGTGCTGGCTCTCCGATGGATCAGCCAAAACATTGCCCAGTTCAACGGTGATCCCAACAACATCACCCTGATGGGGGGAAGCGCAGGAGCATCCAGTGTTCACGTGATGATGAACACGGAACAGACACGAGGTCTGTTCCACAAGGCTATCCTGCAATCAGGATGTGCACTGAGTGAATGGGTGAATTACCCAGACTCCAACTGGGCCCTCCGTCTGGCCCAGAAAATGGGATACAAAGGCGGCGAAAAGGAAGCCGACATTTTCCGCTTTCTTAACGGAATTTCGTCGTATCAGATAGCTTGCAATGACCAAGACGTGGTTACACGGGATGAAATGAGGCATTTCCTAATATATGCATTTGGACCTGTGGTAGAGCCTTACGAGACTGAGCATTGTGTGGTGCCCAGGAGACACGAGGATCAGTTACGTGATGCTTGGGGCAACGATATACCTGTAATTATGGGCGGCAACTCCTTCGAAGGGCTGTTCTGCTACATGCAGGTGAGAGACGATCCCTGGTTTCTTAGAAACTTCCATAATATCCTACCGCGAGAAGTCAGCGAATCCTGCACCCAAGAAGAGCGGGATCTACTTGTGCGACGCATCAAAAAGCACTACTTCGGCAATGAGGAGCAACAAGCTATGGGTTTATTCGAGGCACTGAATATCTGCTCACACCGCCAGATATGGCACGACATGCACCGCTTGGTTCTCGCTCGAAGGACCTACGCTCCTAATACCCCAACTTATTTATATAGATTCGACTTCGACTCCCCGCACTTTAATCAGTTCCGGTGGTTAGTCTGCGAGGATGGCACTCGGGGTGTGTGCCATGCCGACGAGCTTTCTTACCTTTTTTTTACGGTGATGGCAACTATCCTTGATAAATCTTCGGAAGAGTACCAGACTATCGAACGGATGGTGGGCATGTGGACATCGTTTGCAGGGACTGGAAATCCCAATTGTCGGGAAATAGGAGACGCCAAGTGGGAGCCTCTCCAGCGGATGGAAAGCGGAGTGGAGCGGTGCTTCAACATTAGCCAAGAGCTGGACATGAGGGTACTGCCAGAGGCCGACTCAATGGCAATGTGGGACTCCTTGTATCCCAAAGGCTCTCTTTTCTAATCATGTTATTCTTATGTCTTTAAACAAATATTATACATACAAATATACACATGTATAGTTTTAATAAACATTTACTGGTAACTAAGAAAAATGAACATAAATTCATGAAAAGTTTGAGATAAACTTAAATTGTGAGCCTTTGGATCTCTTAAACTGAGTGTTGAGAACGTTTTCCCTAGGCAGCTTGTAATCTACAGTGTTTTTTTTTTAAGTTTGACTTCCAAAAGTATTTTTATTTGTTTTAATCAGTCCACTTAATGAAGCAACAAAACTGTACAGCTTGATCGTTTTCGCTGTAAGCAAATATAAACCAGGTCATTCACCAGACATTAGTTGCTCTTTTGATTTTTGCAGCCTCGTGTGGGTAATATTCCACTGACCCCCCACCCGAAGCTGCAGGTGCGATGATAATTTTCGGAGTTATAAAATCGAAACCACGTAATTTTCCGGGCTATTGTTGCTCTGTGATGGCGATGGCTTTGGCCATTTCGCATGGCTGGTTGAAATTTGCGCTAAAAACCAGTTTGCTCCGAATTTTTAAATGGCAAACTTTGGGGTGCCTTCGTGTAGCAACTTTGAATGTGGTATGCATTATTGTCAGACCTTTTTAATTAGTCTGCTTCATAATGTTTTATTAGCTGACGGTAGTTATCATGGTTAACGATTATGTGATTGTGCTCCAGTAAGCCTCTACAAAGTCTTATTTTAAAATATTCACCTTGCGTGTTCTTAATTAAAATTTCAGTAAGCCTCCATTTGCGATCAGTTTAACGCCGACAGCTCTCAATTCAACATCTTTGAGCAATGATTTTACAAATTTAACTCAAGCCAACTTTCCTTTATTAAAATAAAAATAAAATTGTTAAGTATGGAGTATCGAATGAAATTGCAAAAGTTTCTCAAAATTGTCGTGAGGTGAGTAAATATAAAGAAAAAGCGAATACCCGGAATACAATAGTACATTCTCAGGATTATATATTTGTTGAATATATACCTTTCCCAAAATATACTTATCCAATCATTAACCTCGTTTATAGGATGCTTTTCCACTGGTTCCGTCAGTACTGCCTGTCCACATCCCACACCGTGGTGTTGGACACCAACTACGGAAAAGTATGTGGCCTCCAAAGAAAGACGGCGTACGATGGGGAGCTGTACTTCGCCTTTGAAGGAATACCTTATGCCAAGCCTCCTGTGGGTGAGATCCGGTTCAAGGCTCCACAACCGCCGGAGCCCTGGCAAGGAGTGCTAAATTGCACAACCTATCGATCCAAGCCCCTTCAACGCAATATGGTGCTGGGATTTGTAGAGGGCAGTGAGGATTGTCTGCATCTAAATATATATGTAAAAACCCTGGTATCGGACAAGAAGCTACCAGTGATCGTATTTATATATGGCGGGGTATTCCAAAAAGGAGAGGCCTCTCGTGACTGCTACAGTCCGGATTACTTTATGAACCGGCAGGTGGTTTTTATTACGTTCAACCACAGAGTAGGAGCATTGGGTCAGTTTTCTGATTGTCCTTTGTATATAAGTTTGGCTTTATCAGCAATTTCTTGCTGTTTCTCTTTCTCAGGCTTTCTCAGTTTTAAGGATCCAAAGTTGGACATTCCAGGAAACGCAGGACTCAAGGACCAAGTTCAGGCCCTCCGATGGATCAGCCAGAACATTGCCCACTTCAATGGGGATCCCAACAACATCACTCTGATGGGCCTAAGCGCAGGAGCATCCTGTGTTCACGTGATGATGAACACGGAACAGACACGAGGTCTGTTCCACAAGGCAATCCTGCAATCCGGATGTGCACTGAGTGAATGGGTGAATTATCCTGATTTTAACTGGGCCCTCCGTCTGGCCCAGAAAATGGGTTACAAAGGCGGCGAAAAGGAAGCAGACATATTTCGCTTTCTTAACGGAATTTCGTCGCATCAGATAGCTTCAAATGACCAAGATGTGGTAACACAGGATGAAAAGCGGAATTTTCTAGTATATGCATTTGGACCCGTGGTAGAGCCTTATGAGGCAGGCCATTGCGTGGTGCCCAGAAGACATAAAGATCAGCTATCAGAGGCCTGGGGTAATCGTATACCCGTTATAATGGGGGGAAGCTCATTTGAGGGGCTGTTCTGCTACCAGATGACGAGGGATGATCCCTGGTTTCTTAGGAACTTCCACAATATCCTGCCGCGAGAAGTGAGTGAACCCTGCACTGAGGAAGAGCGGAATATACTCGTGCGACGCATCAAGAAGCACTACTTCGGCAACGAGGAGCAGCAAGCTATGGGTTTGTTCGATGTACTGAATATCTGCTCCCACCGCCAGATATGGCACGACATGCACCGCTTGGTTCTCGCTCGAAGGACCTACGCTCCTGATACTCCAACTTATTTGTATAGATTCGACTTCGACTCCCCGCACTATAATCTATTCCGGTGGTTAGTCTGCGAGGATGATACTCGGGGTGTGTGCCATGCCGACGAGCTTTCTTACCTCTTTTATACGGCACTTTCTACACACCTTGATAAATCATCGGAAGAGTACCAGACAATCGAGCGGATGGTGGGCATGTGGACATCGTTTGCAGGGACGGGAAATCCCAATTGTCGGGAAATAGGAGACGCCAAGTGGGAGCCTCTCCAGCGGATGGAAAGCGGAGTGGAGCGGTGCTTCAACATCAGCAAAGAGCTGGACATGAGGGTACTGCCAGAGGCCGACTCGATGGCAATGTGGGACTCCTTGTATCCCAAAGGATCTCTTTTTTAATGATTCAATCATGTTCTTCTCATAAATTTAAACAATTTGATCATTGTGGATTACTTTAAACTTACATTTTATTATATATTTTAAAAGGCAAAGTTCAAATGTATGCTTGCATTAAAAATTATTATTATTATTATTATGTGTTCATAAGGATGTATGAATTTACTTAAATACAGCTTGAACTCATATCTTTTTATGGAGAAATATATTGTCGAGTCACCGCAAAAGTTAACTTTAAAGTGTCTTGCTTAAAAGCTACCTGGTTATAGCAACAAGCTTAAGCGTACTTTGATTTCGTTTGTTATTCTCTTTTGAAATAGTGACCAAAACGGAGCTCAGCTCTAATTGGAGGCGGCCTCACCATTTTTACCTTTGAAATAGTAAATAGTATATAAAATGTTCTAAAAGGGCTTTCAATAACACTTTTAGCATTGAGTTCAAGTAAGGCGAAGTCCACTCAAATTTTCATAATGATTCTGCCGGGGGCAGAGAAGACTGCCGGCACCTTAATGTGTTTGCTGTTTATAAGCTAGTTGACTGTATGCGTTATTGCTCTAAAAAACTCAGATGTAAATTTATCAGCGTCGAGTTTTTTAATTACACTTGCCGTAGGCATCAACCTGAGATCAGTTCTACGTTAACTCCGCACAATTTCAAACCTTGGTGAAAAAAATACCTTAGACCTTAAATAAGATCCCACGGAAACAGAGATTGTAAAATCTAATTCTAAATTATGGACTTACTAATGGAATGGCCCAAGTTTTTCAAACTTATCGCAAAGTAAGTACAAACGATCACTTGTAGTTCAAAGGTGCACGGCCTAGGCTAGGCATTACACCATTGGTTTTTGTTACCGGCTTATTAAATCGCTAATCTCTCTTTCAGGTGGGCCTTTCACAAGATCCGGCAGTACCGTCTGTCAACTGGTCACACTATAGTGTTGGACACCAACTACGGAAAAGTATGTGGCCTCCAAAGGAAGACGGTCTACGATCCCCCGGAACCCTGGCAGGGAGTCCTCAAGTGTACCTACAATAGATCCAAGCCCCTGCAGCGGAACATGACTCTCGGATTTGTGGAGGGCAGTGAGGATTGTCTGCATCTAAATATATATGTGAAAACCCTGATATCGGACCAGAAGCTACCCGTCATCGTGTGGATATACGGAGGCGGATTTCAGAAGGGAGAGGCCTCCCGCGACATCTACAGTCCTGACTATTTCATGAAGAAGCCGGTGGTGTTAATTACCTTTAACTACAGGCTGGGAGCATTAGGTGAGTTGTGCCACTTTGTATTGTCTTTTGTGATTAAAAAAAATCATCTATTTCAGGCTTCCTTAGTTTTAAGGATCCGCAATTAAACATTCCAGGAAATGCAGGACTCAAGGACCAAGTTCAGGCACTCCGATGGATCAGCCAGAACATTGCCCACTTTAATGGTGATCCCAGCAACATCACCCTTGCGGGAGGAAGCGCCGGTGCATCATGCGTTGACATGTTGATGACCACGGAACAGACACGAGGTCTGTTCCACAAGGCAATCCTGCAATCGGGATGTGCACTGAGTGAATGGGTGACTAATCCGCAGTCGAACTGGGGTCTTCGGTTGGCCCAGAATATGGGCTATAGAGGCGGCGAGCAGGATGTAGATGTTTTCCGCTTTCTTAAACAATTTTCCTCCTATGAGATAGCTTCCTGTGATCAGAACATCGTCACTGAGGATGAGGTACGGAGCTTTCTACTATATGCCTTTGGTCCGGTGGTGGAGCCTTATGAGACAGACCATTGTGTGGTGCCCAGGAGACATAAGGATCAGCTACCAGAGGCCTGGGGTAACCATATACCCATAATAATGGGAGGAAACTCATTTGAGGGGCTGTTCTGCTACCAGATGACGAGGGATGATCTCTGGTTTCTTAGGAACTTCCACAATATCCTGCCGCGAGAAGTGAGTGCATCGTGCACCACGGAAGAACGGGATCTACTCGTGCGACGCATCAAAAAGCACTACTTCAGCAATGAGGAGCAGCAAGCTATGGGTTTGTTCGAGGCACTGAATATCTGCTCCCATCGGCAGATATGGCACGATATGCACCGCCTGGTTCTAGCTCGCAGGACCTACGCCCCCGAAACTCCCACATATCTCTACCGATTCGGTGTCGATTCTCCGCACTTTCATCAGTTCCGCTGGATAGTCTGCGGCGACTTTTTTCGTGGAGCGTGCCATGCCGACGAGCTGTCGTACCTCTTTTATACGGTACTGGCTACACACCTTGATAAATCTTCGGAAGAGTACCAGACCATCGAGCGTATGGTGGGCATGTGGACATCGTTTGCAGGGACTGGAAATCCCAATTGTCGGGAAATAGGAGATGCCAAGTGGGAGCCTCTCCAGCGGATGGAAAGCGGAGTGGAGCGGTGCTTCAACATCAGCCAAGAGCTGGACATGAGGGTACTGCCAGAGGCTGACTCGATGGCAATGTGGGACTCTTTGTATCCCAATGAGGCTCTCTTTTAGTGTTTAAAGCAAAACCGATATCTTAACAAAGAAATTATGTATGACAGATATATATATCACATTTCTCATAGTACAAGTCGTGCTATTCGTAAAGCCTATCCCAAATTCGATTTTGCCTGGATTCCAGAAGTTCTTTGAACTCCAGTTGCTCCCCAATGTTGAGACACATCTGAGGCCCGGTGTTATTCAGAGCTTTCCAGGAGACCGGCGAGATCTGCGCGCAGTTGGGATTATCATTTCGTGCGAACGCCACCCACATTCCCACCATCCGCTCGATGGTCTGGTACTCCAGGGAGGACTTCTCCAGTTTGGTGGCCAGCACGTGGTAGAACAGATAGGAGACATCGTCCGCATGGCTAACTCCGCGGACATGCTTACCGCACATCACCTGCCGGAAGTGGTTGAAGTGCGGCGAATCTACGTCAAAGCGGTACAGGAATGTGGGCGTTGTGGGAGCGTAATGCTGGCGGGCTAGGATAGTGCGATGGATTCCATGCCAAAAGTGCTTTATGGAGAGTATGTGAAGGCACTCGTTGAACTCCATCCGACCTCTGGTGGCATCTTCGAAGTTGTCCACCTTAAACTGACGCAGCAGATCCTTAATCTGGGACGGAGAACGTCTCTCCCTGATCTCGCGCGGAATGAGGGCCTCAAAGGCGCTTAGCATGTGTTCCTCGTCGTGCAGGGTGCTCTGGTAGGAGAAGAGGCCCTCAAAGGAGTTGCCTCCCAAGATCAGGGGCAGGTCATTGCCCCAGGCTGCTGGTAGCATTCCCCTGTGGGGTCGGGGCAGCACACAGTCCCTGGTTATATAGGGTTCCACAACGGGTGTGAAGGGAAACAGTACGTATTCCCGTCGCTCCTCCAGCGAAATCAAATCGATAGCCTTGGAGGCCATTTCAGACGCAGAAGCTCGCTGGAGGAACCGGAACACCTCCTTCTCGTTGTCACTTCCCGAGTAGCCAAGCAGGCAGGCCAGGCGATAGGCCCACTGTCCCCTCGGTTCGTTGGCCCACTCGCAGTACATGGAGCCCGACTGCATGATGGCTCTGTGGAAGAGTCCCCGCGTCTGATCGGTGGTCATCATTGCGTGGACGGATGCAGCCCCCGCACTCTCCCCCATCAGCGTCACATTCTGGGGATCTCCGTTGAACTGGGCGATATTCTGGCTGACCCACCGCAGGGCCATCACCTGGTCCTTTAGGCCAGCATTGCCCGGCACATCAAGGTCCTGATCCGAGATGCTCAGAAAGCCTTGAAAGTACAAGTAATTGGCGCAAATTAAAGTACTGTTTTCAGACAAGAAAATAACTTAAACTCCTTTCGAAAATCATATATATAAAGGTGTTTATAATATTTATCTTAAGGTGTACATCTAAATAAGAAGTGATTAATCTGGCTTACATACATCGAAGTACTTTTAAAAAGTTTCAAATTACTAAAATTAATTGTTTAATCGGCAACTCACCCAGTGCGCCCACTCTGTAATTAAATGTCACCAGCACTACGTCCTGTTTCATAAAGTAATCCGGACTATATGTGTCTCGCCCAGCTGCCCCGATCTGAAAACCTCCGCCGTATATCCAAACGAGTACGGGAAGCGGCTGCTTGGATGTAAGTCGCTTGCTGTACACGTTCAGATACAGGCAATCCTCGCTGCCCTCGACGGTGCCGAGGATGCTGTGTCTTTGCATGGGCTTTGACCGCGGGTAGGTGCAATCTCTCAATCCGACCCAGGGACATGGTGGTTGGGGGGCCCGGAATCGCAGTTCACCAACTGGCGGCTGGCCAAAGGGGATTCCCTCGAAGGAGTAGTAGAGTTCCTCGTCGTAGAGAGTTTTACGAAGAAGTCCTTGCACCGAACCATTCGTGGTGCAGACCACCTCCTTCTTGTTGGTTGCTAGGCGATACTGAACGATTTTGTGACCAATAAACCTATGGATATACAATCACATGAAACTTCTTCACATGTCACTTCTTTGATCCTAACAGGACAATAATTCTTAATGGAATTAATTACTTTCTGATACAATTTAAAAACGAAACAAACCTGTTTCAACACAACTGTAAAATAAACAATAACAAATTGAAAAGCTATCCAAAGCCCGAGCAAATTCACAGTGACGTACTTTATGTACATTTTGAGAAGATCGGCTCGACCGACTCGTACCTCCATGGCTCACGACTCCCTCTTTGCAAACAATTTTCAATTTTAAGTATACAATTTTTTAATCATTTTATTTGGACATATTAGGTCATGGTAAAATGATTAGCACAAAACAAAAAACTTTTTTAACGACATGCAAACAGTAATAAACAAATCACTCTTTAATGAATGAGGCTCACATTATCAGCACGTTCCTTCTTTATTTTTTTTTTTTCAAAATAATATTCCTTTTAACAAATAAATTTTTTCTACATTAAACCAGTTACTTTTTATACACAAAAGATGCACATTTTCCCTAATATAAATCGTGCTTTTCGTAAAACCTATCCCACACGCGACTCTGCTTGGCTTCCGGCAGTTTTATGAACTCCAGCTGCTTTCCAATGTTGAGACACATTTGAGGCCCTGTGTCGTCCAAAGCATCCCACAAGATCGGCGAGATCTGCGCGCAATTGGGATTATCATTTCGTGCGAACGCCACCCACATTCCCACCATCCGCTCGATGGTCTGGTACTCCAGGGAGGACTTCTCCAGTTTGGTGGCCAGCACGTGGTAGAACAGGTAGGAGACATCGTCCGCATGGCTAACTCCACGGACATGCTTACCGCACATCACCTGCCGGAAGTGGTTGAAGTGCGGAGAGTCCAAGTCGAAGCGGTACAGAAATGTGGGCGTTGTGGGAGCGTAATGCTGGCGGGCTAGAATAGTGCGATGAATTCCATGCCAAAAGTGCTTCATGGAGAGAATGTGAAGGCATTCGTTGAACTCCATTCGGCCTCTGGTGGAATCCTCGAAGTTGTCCACCTTGAACTGGCGCAGAAGATCCTTAATCTGGGAAGGAGAGCGTCTCTCCCTGATCTCGCGTGGAATGAGAGCCTCAAAGGCGCTTAGCATGTGTTCCTCGTCGTGCAGGGTGCTCTGGTAGGAGAAGAGGCCCTCGAAGGAGTTGCCTCCCAAGATCAGGGGCAGGTCATTGCCCCAGGCTGCTGGCAGCATTTCCCTGTGGGGTCGGGGCAGCACGCAGTCCCTGGTTATATAGGGTTCCACAACGGGTGTGAAGGGAAACAGTACGTACTCCCGTCGCTCCTCCAGCGAAATCAAATCGATAGCCTTGGAGGCCATTTCAGACGCAGAAGCTCGCTGGAGGAACCGGAACACCTCCTTCTCGTTGTCGCTCCCTGAGTAGCCAAGCAGGCAGGCCAGGCGATAGGCCCACTGTCCCCTCGGTTCGTTGGCCCACTCGCAGTACATTGATCCCGACTGCATGATGGCCTTGTGGAAGAGTCCCCGCGTCTGCTCGGTGGTCATCATTGCGTGGACGGATGCAGCCCCCGCACTCTCCCCCATCAGCGTCACATTCTGGGGGTCTCCGTTGAACTGGGCGATATTCTGGCTGACCCACCGCAGGGCCATCACCTGGTCCTTTAGGCCAGCATTGCCCGGCACATCAAGGTCGCGATCCGAAAGGCTCAGGAAACCTAAACAAGAAAACAGTATAAGTGAACATTTTTGTTTAACATTTTAATTTAAATCTGTGTCCAAAAAGGGGTTTTAATTCAAATTGTTTTATTGTTTAACAAGTAATAGTTTACTTTAAATGAATAAGAGAAATGCTTACGTAAAAACTTTAACTTAATTATTTTTTTAAAGATAGATCACATAAGTTTTAACAACATGTTCTCAAACAACACTGATCTACAAAAATATGCGTAATGCTCTTTTTTTTGCCCCTTTATATTTTGTATATATTTATATTTATATTTATTTATTTATAAATAATGTTCAAAATGGCACGAGCTATAATTAATTCTGATAAATAAATCGTTTTGAAAGTGCTATATAATATATTGTATAAAAACAATCTGCGGACAATAATGACATCTCCGAATATTAACGCTTAGCATTGATTTTTGTGTTTTGTCGACCTGTGTAATTACCTGTGAATGTGGTTTTCTCCTCGTTAAATAATGACAGATATTAAGACCGTAATAGTAATGCAAATGCTTTTATGACTGGAAAGTGGCAGCAGTGTGCAATTAATCTGTACGGCCTGTGAATTATTTCCGATCAAATTGACTTGGGTGAGCTGTGAAGGTGGCCGACAATTACGGAGCAAGAGGAAGTTTTTATATAATCGAAACTGATGTATCTCCGACTTTTGATTCAATTAAATTAATTAAACTGAAGCTTACAAACTGGCTTCAGAATATATGTTTATCTCAACAGAATTACTTGTTGTAACAACTATAAGCTAAGCTCTGACTCTTCTTGTTGTTGCTTTTGAACACATTGAACTTGATCTTGTTGTTATTGCATTTATTTAATTTTTTGTTTACCTGGAAATTATTATGTTATAACAACCTCTGAGGCTGGCGACAAGTAGAATGTGGTCACGCTAGGATGGAAATTTAACCCCATTTATCATCATAATATAATTCCTTTTTGACTTTAAATGTAAGTATAGGGTATGTAATATAAATAACTTTAAGTTTGAACTATTTTCTTGGACCATTATTAAACTCATTTGTATTATTGGTAACTCACCCAGTGCGCCCACTCTGTAATTGAAAGTAACCACCACTACGTCTTGCTTCATAAAGTAATCCGGACTATAGAAATCCCGGGAAGCTTCTCCGATTTGGAATCCACCACCATATATCCAAACGATTACGGGCAGCGGCTTGTCCGACTTAAGTCGTTTACTATACACGTTAAGGTACAGGCAATCCTCGCTGCCCTCAACGATGCTGAGAACAAAGTGCTTTTGCATTGGCTTCGATCTCGGGTAAGTGCAGTCCCTCACTCCGACCCAGGGACGTGGCGGTTGAGGGGCCCGGAATCGCAGCTCACCGACTGGCGGCTGGGCAAAGGGGATACCCTCGAAGGCGAAGTAAAACTCGTCGTCGTAGAGCGTCCTGCGACGAAGTCCTCGCACCTGGCCATCCCTTGTGCAGACCACTTTGGTTTGTTTGGTTGACTGGCGGTACTGGACGATCTTGTGGCCAATGAGCCTGGAGACACAAGGAATGAATTCATTAAAAACCAATAATAATTTAATATTTTAAGTAGTTTTTTATGGTTGGATTTTCTTATAAATTTGTCTTATTCATAGTTGCAAGACTTGGTAGTTTTTGGTTTATTTATAAGCTTTTCCTTTCTTTAAACTTAAGTAGCGACTTGAAAACGGAGCTTTTATTGCAGACAGTTATTCTGTTGACACATTAAATTACAAATATACAAAATTTCTATTTTATATGCTGTGCTTAAAGCTCATTAATTACCCAAAAATAAATTCTATATAAGCATTCCATGAGTAAACAAATTACCGAATATAAAAATAATGCACTTGAACTAGAACCTAATCTGGAGTCAAACAGTCAAACTATTTGTGATTATTTTAAGCCACAATAAACCTTATCGACCTGTACGTGTTTTATGTGGTTCATTCACTCAAAAGTGAGTGAGTAGAGTCCCTAGATTCCGTTGGTAAGGGGGAATTTCGATTCAACCCGGTAGGCTTATACTAATAATTGCATCGCTGTGACCTACTTGGTGCCCATTTTTAGCAGATCGGCCACGCCTACTCGGACCTCCATGACTCTCGTCTCCTGCTGGATTCGACACTATATCACTTTGTCAAAGTTCCCGATCACAATACAACTGAGATCGCAATACTTCCGCCGGCCGCGATCGACAGGGAACAACTGAAGCGAGGCACTGAGGCACCGAGAACCGTACAATCCGATCTATCAGTTCGACTGCGAGTACAACCCACAGCAGCCCCAATTCAGTTGTCGCCATAATCATCACACCCGGGGCTTATCGCAATGTGAGCTGTGTGGTGCCGAAACATACGGTTGTGGAGCGCGGAAAGAGCACCGAACATATAGAAGTAGACTACCCACTGATAAGCGGAGAGCGACGACGCTGACTACTCATCGCGGACAGCTGTTTCGTGTTTCTCGTGTGATTGCTTTTTAATGATGTACTCCGAGTACGGTCTCGGATCTGTTATAAAATCTGATTTAATATCAGAGCGCGGGTTAAAACATGCCAAAACCAGCAACCAAATGGGGGTATAGTTCATGCATTTGCCCCATTAGAGGAGCTAAAACGTGTACTTAGCGACTCGGACTAAAGTGCAGTCAAATTAACATTTCAATTAAAGCTGCGCGCGCAGATAACAGAAACTGCTTGGACTGCTTGCGAGCTGTTAGCGCATCGATAGAAACCAGATGCAACTCTGTGCCTAAACAGCAAATAGATCTTCTTCTTCCTAGTGTTTCCTGTCGACAATCAGCACGTGTTCCGGACTTCATTTACATTTTTATATTATTCGGAAAGTGTGTTCTTAAAATATGAAAATATTAAAATTATTTTACTAATGTGCTTTATTAAGATGTGCAATACATTTCAATAAACTGTAAGTAATCAAATTCTTTGTCTGAGAAGCCTTCTGTTTATCAGACGTTTGTTTATGTTCTCTGTCGGTTTATTTGGTTTACTTTATTTACTTTATTCCCCAGAATAGCTCAATAGAGGCTGTTGGTGCACAAACTAAGCCCCTCTTTACTATTGTTTACTTTAAAAAATTGCAGAGCCGGTTCGAATATTCTTACATTAAAATCCATGAAGTACAGAAAGCTTATGTTATTGAGGTAAGTAATTAATAAAATATTGTGCAGCTCCGCTTAAACATTCCTAACTTTAACTTTACGTTACCTATATGAAAATTTCATTGGGTAACTTGTGAACAATTATGTTTGATTGTTGGCAACTTCGTCGCCTCTGCCTTTTTTCATTTTATTTTATTGTAAATTTCCAATCAATGGCAAAGAATTTGTGTGCCACAAAATTCTATAAAACTTCGAACAACTGAAATGAAAATAAAATGCTCAAACTTTTAGCCAGAAGTTTCGAACAAATACCTGAGAGTTGGGAGTGGAAATTTCCATATGCATATAGCAGTCTGCTCAAATTCCATAAGCAATCAGGGCATAGAAAAAAGTTTATTTACGCGTAAACGATTTTGATTAATACGCCAGTCCCGAAGGCAGCGTCAACTAATTAAAAAATTGTCATAAATCCCAAGAGTTTAACCCATTTACAGTCGAGTGGCCTGGTGAGAAATGGCCGAGAAAGGGATTGCTCGTATAACTTGAGCAGCTACTTAATTACACTTGCGCGCACTTTAATTTCCAGTTAAAAAATGCTGGCCCAAAATTGTAAGCGACGGCAAAGAAATGTTAATTTTTTGCCCTTCCCTGGAAGGGGTGGGATGCGAAGTCAAGACGAGCCGAAACATTGTAAATTATAGGCTTAAGCCGGCCGATGTGCCAGGGAAGAGAAGTCAAGCTCTGCGAGCTGGTTACATGGAGGAGCTTATTAAATTATACAGAGGGGCTCGGCCTGGGGTGTGGTCTTAAATTTCCAGCATTCTAATCTCGATTTAAGCCAGTGAGAGCAGCTCCTTCGGTATCAAGTGAATTCAATGTCAAAGGGGTTAATTGAAAGTGCCGCAGCAGCTGACAGCCCTGAAAAAGGGAAGACGGGAAAAGTGCTCGCTGGGACCTTCCTTGGGTTTCGCATGGCAAATATGCAGTAGTCATAAAATCAAAGTCCATAAAACGATACCGAACCCACCGCAGTGCATAAAAAAATATTCTTCCTTGGGTCCGGCTAGAAAGTTTCATTTCTTTGGGTTCTTTTTTTTATCTGGCTTGCTTATTGCACCCAAAGGGACTTTCCATACGCTCGTGGGCCCAAACTATTTTGAATTTGAAATGCAGACAAAGTTCTATGCGTCAAAAATTATGCGTGCTTTTTGGGGGGATGTTGGACTGTGAGAGGGCGGCGTCAGGGGAACAAATTGTTTCCTTCTTTCCTATGGAATTTTTTTGTTGTGGATAAATTGAGTTAACTTTTGCCACGCTCTTGACTTTGATTTTTCTGCTTTTTCATTCGAATGTCCATCAATTAAATACATTTAAAATGAAGAAAAACTTTCTAAGAAATATTTTTAAAGTCCAACGAATTCAATGAGGTGTTTGAGATTCCTAGAAACTGTTTAAAAGGTCGAGACCTTTTTAATTAAATACAAAATTTTACGAAAAAAATGGAAACCCCAAAAAACAATTGGAAATCTTATCAAGCCCCAAAAGAAAAGGGTAAATGAAGTACAAGCCACGACAATGAAAGCAGAAAGGTCCATATAGAAAATGGAAACCGTTTTGCATTCAACTTTGCCATTTTTCACAAAGTAATTTGGTAAAAAAGCAAAATGAGTAATTATTAAACTGTCGCCCCCGGGGCTAAGATTGGGCTAAGCGGCGGGGAAGCCCCTTAAGAGCGAAGGTAAGGGAAGTCGAAACTTACTTTTCCTGTTCGAGGGAAAAAGGTGCAGGCCATAAAGTTAACTTTCCGTCGGTCTCTTAATACATTCTTCTTTTGGGGGCCCCTCAAGAAGGAGCTGCGAAAAAAGAAATAAATTAACTTTTGTTCGGTGGAGAAGCACAGCGGGGTGGGGTGTCCTGGGTGGAAGGACTCACCAAGTGTTCGGCCCCCATCAATGGTTAAATAATGGACTGCTCGTCTTATTATTAACTGAATGCTTTTTGATCTTGCCAACGCAAATTACAGGCTACAACGCCTTGGACCGCGTCACAGTGCCTCCCCTGTTCAGCCAGCAATGAAACATTATCCTGGCGCTGGTCCGGGCGTTATATATAACACTTTCAAATTGATAAGGACGGGGCGTAAGAGGCGTCGACTCCGTCGTCATTTGCCAAGTTGCCACTGTCATTGTCTGGTGGCATTTGTAATTCACTTTGATTAAATATGCAAGGATGCTGGGCTCTCTCGCAGGACGCCGCTGGACGAGGACCGCATTCAAATGCCGCAGCAATGCAACGACAGTCAAGGGACCCGAATCCCACCGATTCGCCAACTAACAAACTCGCTGTTAGCCTTATTTTACACTCGAAGAAAACATGATGCGATTTTCTGTGTCTATGATGATGCAAACAAAGGAAGTTCCAAGTACTTTTTGGGGTAAAAGGTCTTCCTTAAGCTGTTATTTTAACTATTTTAAGAGTTTTTTATAATTTGTAATATATTGTATCATAATAATCCCTTGCTATATCGAAAATATATCTCTCAGTGCACTGGGACGCTCCTTAGTCAAGTCGCCAAGAAAGCGCAAAACAAGTTTGTGAATTTCGGCAACGGCGTGTCCTCTGACAGGATATAAAACAATCAGTGCAAGCTAGCGGAAACGGAAGTGTAGCCCTCCCCTATCCCCCCCCCAGCCCTTTCTGTTGTGTGAAATTGTCTAAATTGTGGGCGTGGCTGGCTCTCCCTCCTCCCTCTTTGTATTTGTGTGTGTGTGTGAGTACGACTCTTGTGAAATGTAGTCCAAAGTTGTTTTGTGGCCGCTGCCGCTCCAAGAGATGACTAACCAAAAGAGCTGGCTAGAGAAGTGCTTGGGGAATGGGGTTGGATGTGGATGTGGACGAGAATCTGAATAGTTGGTGTGGGCAGGTCTCCGCCTTTGACTATTGTCTATTTTTGTGTCTTTCTCTTTCTGCTTCTGATTGCATTCGCTGGAAATTTTCAGCTGGGTTTATTAATGGGTTAAATTGAAATTTCACGCTTTGCTGGCTTCGGATCCCGTTGCCAGGGCTTGGAAAAGGTCAGGTCGGCAGCGCTTCTTGAGAGCTATCCTTGAAACGAATGCATATTTATAGTAATGCGGGTCAGGTGAAGCGAACTGAGAGATTGTTTGAAAAGGATAATCAAATGCCAGAGAGTGACATTGTAAAAGCACGGACACTTTGGACTTTACACGATTTAAGTCAGGCTTCTTGCTTAAATAAACTAGAAATTCAAGAGAATCTGTTTCAGATGTAAATCCAACATTTTTCTAGTACTTCTCTCTGGGAAAAGTTGTCAAAGAGGCGTGGTTGAATTCAAGCACACGCATAGATTGAATGACGAACTTTTACTTTTCAACTGTCCCATCCGGATACCCAGCATTCAGGACCAACAATGGGCACTGAATATTTTTCGGCTGCTCCTTCCGCTGTCCGCCCCTCGTTACTCTCTTCTCCACGATGTCAGCTGTCAAGACTTGGTCCGTTGTTTTTCTTGTTCCTGTTTAGAGGATCCTGGGAATGCAAGAAACGGATGCGCAGGGCGAGGCAGCCGAAACCAAACAGTTTTGTGGCATTTTCTTGCACTCCCAGCCACTGCACAGTCCGGCTCCCTCACATCCTGGTCAATGCTCGTCGTCGTCGGCGTCATAGTCTCGTTTTGGTGGTTTATAAATGGAATGGAATGGACGCTGGCGGCGGAGGTCAGCCTTTGTTCCTGCTGCTGCTGACATCGTTGTCCTTCACTGCTGCTGATTCGGCAGCTGCAAAGGAGATGGCTGCAGTCGGGCTGGCCTGGGCTGGGATACGTCCTTTCCTCACAGTGATAAACTGCTGCGTTGGTGGCTTCGCTCCTCGGACATTTGGGACTATTTTGCTGGCAAGCAGGGGAACTCTGCGAAATGTTCTATAGTTCATTATACCCTGGCGAAAAGTATTTTATACTGAATAAGGCTGATTTTTGCATTAGCATTTTAAAAGCATTGATTTTATTTAAGTTGAGGCAATATTATTATTAGAAAATGTTAGCATTGTAAAATGTTTTTTATTGTATAACTTTAAACAAGTCTGAAAAATAATTTAAATTCAAATTTAGTAATACT